GGTAGTGGGGAGCAAGGCCATGGAGGGCTTTGAAGGTGAGGACCAGGATCTTGAACTGTATCCTCTGTGTGATGGGAAGCCAGTGGAGTCGGGCGAGGATGGGGGTGATAAGAGTCACAGGGCCTGGTGTGGGAGAGAACATGAGCTGCAGAGTGCTGGAAGATTTGCAAACTGTGGAGGGAGGGGACAAGTTTGCATAGTTGAGCCTCATTGTAATGAAGGGTTTGAGGGTTGTGGTGTGATACAGTGGTGGAGCCGGGCGATGTTGCGGAGGTGGGGGAAGACAGAGCGGGTCATGGCACGCATGTGGGGTAGAAAGGATAATTGAGGATCAAACTAGACCCCAAGGTTGCGGACTGGCTTAGCAAGGTGGAGTGTGCAACCATGGATGGTGATGCTGTCAGCGCCTGAGGTGAGGAGGTGCTGACTGGAGCCAATCAGGAGAGCCTCGGTCTTGTTCATGTTCAACTGTAGAAAGTTTGCTCTCGTCCAGGACTTGATGTCTGACAGACATTTTGTCAGGACAGCAGCAGGTCCTGGAGTCAAGGGTGGAGGCAGAGAGGTAGAGTTGGGTGTCATCCGCGTATATGTGGAAGGTGCCCCACGTCTACGGATGATCTCACCAAGAGGGAGCATATAGATATTGAAGAGGAGGGGACCAAGGACCGAGCCCTGAGGAATACCGCACGAGACAGTGAAGCCGAGTGGTCAACGGTGTCAAGGCAGCAGAGAGGTCAAGGAGGATGAGGAGGCAGAAGCTGGGAAGCAATAATTTGTTCCAGGACCTTGGAGAGGAAAGGGAGGTTGGAGATGGGGCGGTAGTTTGATAGCAGTGATGGGTCCAGGGAGGATTTTTAAGGATAGGAGTGATGATGGATGTTTTTAAAGGGGTGGTAAAGGTACCAGTGCACAGGGGGAGGTTTATGATGTCTATGAGTAGGGGAGCAAAGGAGGTGGAGCCGGGAGGTAAAGAGAGGGGTAGGGATGGGGTCAAGGGAGCAGGTGGTCGGTTTCATGCAGGTTGTAGTGGTGGTGAGAGAGCAGTGGGAGGCAGGTTCGAGGTGTGGAGGGAGGGATGGATAGGGACCAGTGTATGAGGGGGAGACGGGGAGGGGGTAATAGATGGATGGGCAGAGGCAGCTGAGCGGATCCCCTCAATTTTGGATTTGAGGAAGCTTAGCATCATTTTGAAGTTGGCACTGGAGGTGAGGATGGGTGAGGCATGAAAGGGTGGGTGGAGTAGCCGGTTGCTGATGGAGAAGAAGAGCCTGGGGTTGTCCTTGGCCTCCAAGATTGTCTCGCAGTAGAACAACGATTGAGCGGAGGCGAAGGCGGAGCGATAGGATTTGATAAGGTCCAGCCAGATCTGGACTGTTAAATTCAATTTAAGCCAGGTGCGTTCAGCAGCACGCATCTATGCTTTAAGGGAGTGGAGGCGGCTGGTGTACCAAAGTGATTTACGTGAGTAGGAGACGGTTCGGGAAGTGAGTGGAACAAGGAAATTGAGGGTGGTGGAGAGGGAGCTGTGAAGAAGAGTGATCAAGGAGGATAGATCATTGCGGGAGGAAGCCCAGAGGGGAAGGAGGTCGGATGAGTCCAAGATAGCTGAGAGGAAGGGAGAGGGGGAAGATTTTTTTCCAGGGACGGTAGGAGATGGAAGTGGGTTGGGTGGTGGTGCAGAGAGGGATTAAGGAGTTAAGGGAGATGAAGTGATGGTCCGAGATTGCTTTGTCGATGCGATCGAAGAGAAGGGTCATGACACGGGTCTTGAAGGAGGCAAAGCGAAGGGACTGTGGGCTGGAGTTCCAAAGGGGGTGAAGTTAGAGAGAGGGAGACTTGCAGACATGGGTTAGGAGAGAGGGAGAGATAGATACTTGAATTGGCAGAAGAAGTGATGGAGATGCAGTCAGGAATATTTTTATTTTATAAATTAAGCAAAAAATATTTAAGAGTCAGCGTCTCACTTGTCCACGATGTCGCAAAAGTGAGATGCTGACTTTTAAACATTTTATCGCCGCAGCAAAACTAAATCTCTAAAGACTGAGAATAGTGGAGTGATTAAATTTAGTAGTACTTTATACTTAGAAAGATAAAAACAAAACATTTTTATAGCAGCTTGTCAAACCTTAGCAAAGAGCTTTACAATAATTACTGTCCGGACAACAACAACTTGTATTTATACAGGGCCCTTCTTGCCGGGTAGAGTCCCGGAGCACTTAACTGGTGGGGTCTGACCCCAATGCCGGGGGAGAGGGAGAGGGGAAGTGACTTTAAGCCCGATCAAAAAGGAAGTCTTCAGGCGGGATTTGAAAGTGGGGAGGGAGGAGGCAAGACAGAGGGATTAGAGGAGAGAGTTTCAGGGTAGTGACTGAAAGCATGGCCGCCTACAAGGCCATTCACGGCCTCGCTCCCTCCTACCTCTCCGACCTACTATCCCCCTACCTACCTGCCCGTACCCTCCATTCCTCTGGCTCTGGTCTGCTCCACGTCCCCCGCCCCAACCGCCCTACTATCGGTGGCCTTCAGCCTCTCAGCCCCGAGGCTCTGGAATTCTATCCCCAGTGCCTTCGCCGCTTCCTCCCTTTCCTCCTTCAAGGCCGGTCTCAAGACCTTTCTCTTTGACCTTCAGCCTTCAGCTCCGCTCTCGACTCTCTACCCCCTCCTCGCTCCCTCCCTCCCCTCACCCTGACCATTTATAAAAATAATAATAATAATAATAATCCTTGCATTTGATATAGCGCTTTTCACGTCGGGAGGCCGTCCCAAAGCGCTTCACAGAATAGACTGTAAAGTGAATTGACTGTATATTTGTGGGCGAACGCGGCAGCCAATTGCGCCAATTTCCCCTCAAAGCTCGGGTCCTGACCCAACTGTACAGCGCCTTGGGACGTCCTCCCGACGTGAAAGGCGCTCAATAAATGGAATCTTGTTGTTGTTGGTGGTGAAGAGACAAACAGGATGGATGAGAGACAGACAGGAGGCTAGAGCCGGCCAAGCAGAGGCAGCGGATGATGGAGTGGGGGTGGGGTGAGCCGGAAAAGTAGGGAGGTGCGAGGAAATGAAGGGATTTCAAAATGAGAGGGAGGATCTTGAAGTCGATCTGTTTGGAAATTGGGAGCCAGTGCAGCTTGGCAAGGACTGGTGTGATGAGGGTCCGGAGTTTTGTGTGGGTTAGTATCTGGGCAGTGGAGTTCTGATTCTAAAGAGGCAAAACAATATAGATCATGACGGGCTGTTTCAACTTGTCCAGAATAATAAAACCAGAGGCCATGGCCTGCGATTAAAAGGGGGAAATTCAGAATGAATCTATGCAAACACTGTGTCAGTGAGCGAACAGTGAACCTGTAGAACAGGCTCCCTAGGGAGATGGTTGAAGCAGGAAATGTTGATTCTTTCAAACACAGATTAGTTTTCCTTTAAGAAATAAAATGATGGGATACAGTAATAGTGAGTTTGGGACATATGTGCAGGCGACCACCAGGAAGGTGGAAGGCCAACTAGATGGACCTTGGTCTTTTTTTCCCTCCAGTGTTTCTTACGTTCTTATGTACTTGTGGTGCTGGGGAGACCAGCGAGGAGGGCATTTGAAAAGTCCAGCCAGGAAGTGACGAAAGCGTGGACAAGGGTTTCGGTACTGTGTGTGAGGTACAGGGGGAGGCGGGTAATGTGGCGGAGGTGGAAAAAAGAGGTCCTGGTCAGGAAGCGGATATGGGGGAAAAAGGAAAGCTGGGGGTCACATCTGACGCCTAGATTGCACATGGATTTTGGTAAGTCTGAGGGAGAGCCTGGGGAGGTTGAGAAGTTCAGACAAGCAGGAGAGAAGATGTTGACGGGAGACAAAGATTATGGCTTCCCTCTTGCCAATGTTCAGCTGCAGGAAATTTGTGCTCATCCAGGTCTTGATGTCCATCAGACAAGTTGACAGGACATCAGCAGACTCGGAGACACAGCTGGAGGGGAAGGAGAAGTAGATTTGGTAGTCATCCACATACATGCGTGGTTATTTATATACTACTTGGCTGTTTGTGGGACTTTGTGGTGCACAAATTGGCCGCCATATTTACCTACAATAAGACAGTCACTATGAATCACTTTGAGACTCTCCTATTAAGGCAGCCTTATTAAATGCAACCAGCATTGCTATTATCAGAATACACTATCAAGTATGTTATGTAGTTTGTAGGGTAAACACAGCAGGTAATTGGATTACAGGAAGGTTCACAAACAGCGAAGAAATGAAAAAAAATACAATTGGATAAAGTAATTTAATTTATCTGGAAGATTTTTGACCAGAACATAACCAGGAATCCTGGCCTCATTCTGTGCTGGATGATCCTACCTTGGGGAAATCCTTTCATTTGACATAGCACCTTATCGTGTCGTGAAGACATCTGAAGAGCTTCACAGAATATACTGTAAAGTGAATTAACTATATATTCCGGGGGTGAAAAGAAGCAGCCAATTTCTGCACACAGCACAAACAGTCGTGGATTGAGTGACCAAATTATTATTATTTTTGATTTGATGGGATTATTTTTTGAAAACTCCCTCAGCCTCTTTATTATGTACTATCTGAACGGTGCCTCTAATCCAGCCTTTTTAACTGTTCCATCCACTTTCACACACGAATAAGTTAGCAACATTTCACAATTAGTGTGTTTGCTTGGCAATTTACTTAAGCTTTCCTCTCTGCCTCTGTGCATTTAAAAACATAGGAACTGGCCTAATTTCCAAGAGCGATATTACAAAACTGTGCAGGTTGGAACACACTAAGACTGCCGAATTCATATTGCACACGCTTTTTTTTGTATTAAAATCTACCTTCAAAAACCTTTTGCAATCAGGAGCAATGCTTGCTCTGAAAGCTCTTAATCTGTAATCAAGGCGGCTTTAAATATAGCAGCCAGTTTCCCTTCCTGTCCTGACATCAGAGGGCATTTAAATATACAGAATGAATGACAAGCTGTGGCTCAAATTGCAGCACAGAGACTTTGAGCATCTTACCAATCAGCTGATGGAGGCTCTGTGTGTGTGGTGGGGGCAACTTGTCCAGTTGGAACTTACACATGTCTGTTTTTGCTCAGGTTGGAACAGGGAAAGTTGCTGAAGGAACGCGAGGGGGAACAGTCAAGTTGTTTTTAACATGAGGACAAAGAAGGTGAGGATATAGGAGTGTTTGGGGATATTATTCTCTCTCTCTGCCTCTCTGCTTAAACAGAAACCTCCTCCCAGCTTTGAGCCATTGCAGCCTGAGCTCACACAGCTGCTTTCTGCTTTCAAACCTTTGGCATCTTCGGTCTCAAACTGCCAACTTTCGGAAGCTGCGAGGAGTTTCTCTGCTGCTTGTTAATGTATATATCATGGTGGGGAGGGCAAACAAGGGTTGGTTTGTTGGGCAAAGCAATGGAATCAGGAAGTCGGTCCCTATGTGGATGAAATCTGCTCTTGGGGAGAGATTATTACTCCACAGTCTGCTGGTCTGGGGTTCAGAGGGGGTGGGGGTTGGTGACGTGTGTGTGGGAGGCAAGATTATGACCAGCAGAGGGAAAGGAGAGGTTTGAAAAATAACTTCCATTGCCCAGAGGGTTGTCTTCCTCTATCCCTCCACCTTGCCCCCTCCTTCCCCCCTCTTAGGATTATTCCTGAGGACCTTCCTCTTCGACCGTGCCTGCGGTCACCTCCCCCCGGCTCGGCTTTGTGCTCGTCACTGTCAAGGGCTCTGGGACGCTGACCCTGTGTGAGGGGCACTGTACAAATACAAATTGTTGTTGTCAACGTAGGAATGAGGTGCCAGGGGTGGAATCGTGGCAGAGTTAATTGGGGGCACTTTTTAAATAAATGGAATTGGACAAAAGGACCCAGAGGAGGAGTATTAGAGTGTCCGAGGAAAGGCATTGGGAAGAGGGTGGATGGGTTCTTCTTGGAGGAGCAAATGCTGTTGGAAAAAAATTAGCTGAATGGCCTTCTTAATGTTCTGTTACATAGGAACAGGAGTAGGCCATTCAGCCCCTCAAGCCTGTTCCGCTTTTTCAGGCAATTTGCCCCCCAACTAGTCTTTGCTGGTGTTTATACTTCATGTTTTTTTNGAAGGGATTATTATCCCCAGAAAGCGATCCGCCAATCGACTAACCACCTACTTGCTGCTAACTAAATAGAGGCGTGTGGAGTCAGGAAACTTGCCCAACGTTTCGTACTTCCCGCCCGGCAATCAAACCCAGAACCTCTCGCTTGCGAGGTGAGTGCTCCAATCACTCAGCTGCAGGACGCCACAATTACTGAGAAATGCTTTGAAATGTATTTCGACAACAACCACAACTTGAATTTATACAGTGCCCTTCACGCCAGGTAACGTCCCGGAGCGCAATGTAACACCTTTCAACATGACAAGGTGTTGCAAAAATGCAAATTTCTCCATCTGGAGCCAAAGTTTTGGTTTTGGTTCCCAGACCCCTGGAGGCAGTCTGTGGCTGTTCAACGTCAGGGTTCACAGGTTCAACATCACAGGTTCAAGTCAAGTGTTCAGAGTGGCTGCCAGAATGGCTCGCAGGCTTCTCGCTCTTTCTGTCTCATTCACAATAATCCTCATATTTGACCCAGTGCCTGTGAATTGAAATGTCTCCAAAGCCCTTCCCAGATAATCGCTGTCAAGTTTAGTAACCGGGTGTTTGTAGGCAAATCGTCAGCCGTTTGCACACAGAAGTCCCAGAAACTGCTACAAAGTGAATGACCAACTTTATGTGAGTGATTGTTGGCCGGGAAACTGGGAGGTACTCCATTCTCTTTTTCAAACAGCTTGATAATAATTATAATTATAATAATCCTTGCATTTGATATTGCACCTTATCACAGAAGCATTTTGAATATACAAAGTAAAGTGTAGTGACTGTGTGGTTTGTGGACGAAAAATGATAAGGATAGTTAAAGATATTTAACATTGTTAAATGACCTCTGCAACGTTGTTCTTTTGGGGCATTCAAATCCGGGTGGAGATTGATCTTTGGGAAGTGAGTTATTGACTGTTTAAATTTGGAGAGAAAAATCCTTACTTTGAAAGTAATTTGTGAAGTCCTGTTAGAGCACTCGCCTCGCTAGTGAGAGGACCTGGGTTCAAGTCCTGGGAAGGGCGAAACGTTAGGCAAGTTTCTTCACTCCACACGGCTCTGTTTACCCAGCAGGAACTTGGTTGTTAGTCGATTGGTATATCACTTTCTGGGGGTAATAATCCCTTCAAAAAAAAATCATTTGATCACTCAATCCACGACTGTTTGTGGGACAGTGCCGAGTGCAATTGGCTTCTGCATTCTGCTCACAAAATAGACAGTCACAACACTTTACAGTATCTCCAGTGGAGCGCTTTAGGACGTCTCAATGATCATTTCATATCAATATATCGAAAGCAAAAGTTTTTATCATTTCACACACTGTAATAAATTGCCTTCTCTCTCTCTCTCTCTGTCCCCACAGCCCATGGTTGCGACTCGCTGTTCAGTTCGCTTGAGGAACAGGCGGCTTCGATGCTGTGGATTGGGGTCTTCCAATGACGGCAGCCGTGGCAGAACACAGAAAGCCACCTCGGTAAGAAGATAATAAATATCTCCCAAGATGCTCCCTTTCCATCCCACAGAATCCCGGTTTGAATATAGGAAAAAATAATATTATAGGGTCTCAATGGGATAATTATAATAATAATCCTTGCATTTGATAACATCTTCGTGACATCTCAAATATACTGTAAAGTGAATTGAACTTTATATTTTGTGGGCGAAACGTGGCAGCCAATGGGGCACAGCCGCGTCCACAAACAGTCATGGGTTGAGTCACCACATCATGATTATTATTATTTATTCAGAGTAAATGGCTCCGTTGGGGAAACAAACACCAAACCCAATGGGGTGGAGGTGGGATGGGGGGCAGGTGGGGATAGAAAGGGTAAAAGAGCAGGGATATGGAACTGGAGAGAAGTTGTAATAAGGGGTGCCGGCACAGCTACAATGTTCAGTGCTGTAAACCCGTTTCAGTTGATCTTTACTTTGGTCAAACCCCATCACCCAGGTCCTTGCCAGGCTCCACTGGCTCCCAATTATCTAACGGATCATTTTTAAGATCCTCTCACTCGTTTTCAAACCCCTTTACGCCCTCCCTACCTCTCTAACCTACTTACCCCCTCAACCACACTCCACCACCTGCTGTCTCCACTCGGCCGGCTCCGGACTCCTGTTTGTCCCTCATCCCCTCCGCTCCACCATCGGTGGCCGTCTCTTCAGCTGCTACGCCCCAAAACTCTGGAAGTCTCTCCCTTAATCCCTGCGCCTTGCCCCCTGGCTCCCCACCTTCAAATCCCACCTAAAGACCTTCCTTTTTGATCGTGGTTACCTCCCACTCCCTCTCCCCCCTTGCTCGGGTTCGGACTCCGCCACTGTCAAGTGCTCTAGGATGCTACTCTGCGAGAAGTTCTGGTCGTTTGGTCCTTGATGTGGATGAAATCTCGGACGTGTTAGCTCTGAGCTGATGTCAGCCGTAGTGATGGAAAATTGTGACATCGATCCCCAAGTGTTTATCACAGTTTTAAATCTCAGCAACTCCATTCTGTAAGATATTTACAGCAACCAATCACGTTTTTTAAAAAGCAAATAGTAAATCCTTATGAAATATGGAAGAAACCAATTTTCTCATCCCCCGAGGGTCCTTTAGAGGAATAAAGTTATTGATTTGGTGATGTTTATGGAAATCCTTTGAACCGTGAAAATGGGACTCAGCAAAGGAAATACCTGTAGACATGATGTATCCACATCATCATCAGCTACTTTCTCAAGTGATTTGTTGAATCCAGATTCTGTCACCTTGTAATTCAACATGTATGTTAAGAGAAGCTTTCTGTCCTACTTCACCTGCCCCTCCCTCCCGCCCACTATTTGAAAGAAAAGTATGTATTTTTTTCCCCAATGTTAGTGGCATAGATGCTCTTCTGATCACAGGGATGAGAGGCTATATATAGTTACGAGGAGAGACTGGAGAAATTTAGTCTGTTTTCATTGAAGCAGAGAAAGTTGAGAGGGTACATGATAGAGGTGTTCAAAATTATGAGGGTTTTTTGAGAGAGTAGATAGAGAGAAGGTAAGGGAGTTGGTGACGAGAGGACATGGATGTGAGTTTTTTTTTCTTTTGGAATCCTGTAGCTTAGTGGTTGGAGCACTCGCGAGCGAGAGGACCTGTGTTCGATTCCCGGGCAGGGCAAAATGTTAGGCAAGTTTCCTTACTCCACACACCTCTGTTTACCTAGGATTAAGTGGGAAACTTATTGTTAGTCGATTGGTGGATTGCTTTTCCAGAGATAATAATCCCTAAAAAATATATATAATCATAATAATAATTTGGTCACTCAATCCACAACTGTTTGTGGGGACACTGCTGTATGCAGTTGGCTGCCATGTTTCACCCACAAAATATACAGTCAATTCGTTTACAGTATATTCTGTGAAAACATAACATGTAGGAGCAGGAGTAGGCCATTCAGCCCTTCGAGCCTGCCCCGCCGTTCAATCATGGCTGATCTTCTAATTTAACTAATCACATAACCCTGTCTTATCCCCATATCCCTTAATCCCTTTTGCAATAAGAAATCTATCTATCTCAGTCTTGAATATGTTCAAGGACTGAGTGTCAATAGCCCTTTGGGGTAGTGAGTTCCATAGATTCACCACCGTTTGAGTGAAGAAGTTCTTCCTCAACTCAGTGCGAAAGGACTGAGTTTAGTTTTAGTTTCTCCAACGGGGGAAACAATCTCCCACTATCTACTCTATCATACCCTTTGATGATCTTATAGGTTTCTATAAGATCCCCTCTAATTCTTCTATATTCTAGAGAATATAGACCCAAATTGGTCAGCCTATCCTCATAACTCATCCCCTTCATCCCTGGTACTAACCGAGAAAATCTACGCTCCACCCCCTCCAAGTACATCCTTCCTTAAATAAGGAGACCAAAACTGCACACAGTATTCCAGGGCCCTATACAGTTGCAGCAAGACTTCCCTACTCTTATACTCTAATCCTTTCAGAATGAATGCTAACATACCGTTCACCTTCCTAATTGCTGCTGCACCTGCAGACTAACTTTCTGTGATTGGTGTACAAGGACACCCGAGTCCCTCTGGACGCTAACACATTCCAATCTCTCCCCTTCTAAAAAATAACCCGCTCTACTGTTTTTGCTCCCGAGGTGGATGACTTCGCACTTCCCTACATTATACTTCATCTGCCACCTACCTGCCCAATCACCTATCTATGTTGCGCTGCATTTTTTTAATGTCATCCTCTGTGTTGACACTTCCTCCTAGTTTTGTGTCATCCGCGAAATTAACTTTGATGTCCTCATCTAGATCGTTGATGTAGATTGTAAATAGCTGAGGCCCAAGGACTGATCCTTGTGACACTCCACTAGTCACATCCCGTCAATCTGAAAAGGACCCGTTTATCCCTACTCTTTGTTTCCTACCTGTTAACCATTCCCCAATCTACGTTAATATGCTCCCCCTAATTTCGTGAGCCCCTATCTTTTGGACTAACCTTTTATGTGGCACCTTATCGAATGCCTTCTGGAAGTCCAACTAGACCACACCCACTGATTCACCCTTATCTGGTTTACTCGAAATATTCTCAAAAAAACTCTATGAAATTTGTCAAACATGACTTCCGTTTTGTAAAGCCGTGTTGACTCGGCCTAATTATATTGTGCCCTAAATACCGCACTACCACATCCTTAATCAACGATTTTTTCCTATCACTGATGTGAGACTAATTGGCCTATAGTTCTCCATCTTTTCCTTTCCACCCTTTTTAAATAGTGGTGTGACATTTGCGATCATCCAATCCATGGGGACTGTTCCAGAATCCAAGGAATTTTGGAAGATCAGACACAAGGCCTCCAACTATCTCATAAGCTCCTTCTTTTAAAACCCGGGGATGCAGACCATTCGGACCAGGGGATTTGGCACTTTTTAGTGCTAACAGTTTCCCGAGCACCAATTCTCTTCTAATGAAAACTTCCCTAAGTTGCTCCCTGTCCTTATCCCTTTGGTGCATCTCTATTGCTGGTAGACTTGTTGTGTCTTCTAGAGTGAAGACAGATGCAAAGTACCCATTTAGGGACTCTGCCATGACCTTATCCCCCATTACAACTTCTCCCGTCTCTGACTGAAGTGGACCTACATTTACCCTCACCAGCCTATTCCTCTTAATATATTTGTAAAAGCTTTTACAATCAGACTTAGTGTTCCCAGCGAGCTTACCCTCATACTCCTTTTTCTCGCTCTTAATGAGTTTTTTAGTTTTTTTTTACTGGTTTCTAAAACTCTCCCAATCTTCAGATTTGCTGCTTTTCTTGGCAGTTTTACAAGCTTTTTCTTTTAATTTGATGCTTTCCCTAACTGCTCTAGTTAGCCACGGATGAATTGCTTTCCCTGTGGTACTCTTATTCCGCAAGGGAATATGCGACCGTTGAGAATTATGCACTACATCCTTAAATATTTGTCACTGTTGGTCTACATTTTTACCTCTTAATCGCATTCTCCAGTCTATTTTACCTAAATCTTTCCTCATACCTACAAATTAGCCTGATTTAAATTCAGAATACTTGCCTCAGATTTAACTGTATCCCTCTCTAACTTAATGCAGAATTCAATCATATTGTGATCACTCTGCCCCAGAGGAGTCTGAATACCTACACTGCCGACTAGCGCTGTTTCCTTACACAAAACAAGGTCTAGGATGGCCTGTCCCCTGGTTGCTTCCTTGGCATGCTGCTCTAGAAAGTTATCTCTCATACTTTGAGACGCCTCGAAGACGTGATAAGGCGCTGTATTAAATGCAAGGATTGTTTAATTATTTTTTGGTCAGCCGGTTATCTGACACATGCAGAGACTCATCACCATGCTTAACAGTATTTCCATGTATCCCACCTCTGCTTCACGGGAAATTCCAGAGAGAGATTATAATAATAATCCTTGCATTTGATAGAGCGCTTTTCACGTCGGGAGGACGTCCCAAAGCGCTTCACAGAATACACTGTAAAGTGAATTGACTGTATATTTGTGGGCAAACGCGGCAGCCAATTGCGCACAGCAATGTCCCACAAACCGTCGTAGATTGAAAATGACCAATTTTATTATTGTTTTTAGTTTTGGAGGGATTATTATTAGGCTCTGTGTGGAGTAAGGAAACTTGCCCAAGGTTTCGCCCTCTGCCTGGAATTGAACTCAGGTCTCTCACTTGCAAAGCGAGTGCTCTAACCACTGAGCCACAGGACTCCACAATGTTGGAATGGCATGCACACTCTATGAAGGAAGTTATGGACGGGCAAGGGAACGGGCCCATGAATTGAACTTGAGTGAGCAAAATGCTGGAAATCCTAAATAAAAACAGAAGTTGCTGGGAATGCACAGCACGTCAGGCAGCATCTATAGAGAGGGGAAAGCGAGTTAATGTTTCAGGTTTCGATAACAACCTGAAACGTTAACTTATTTTCCTCTCTCCATGGATGCAGCCTGACCTGCTCTGTGTTCTCAGCGACTTCTGATCTCGAGTGATGTTGGTATCTGAAGAGTTCGAAAGTTACTGACTTTGTGTATTTGTGGTTTATTCCTCTCCAGTCTGCGGACAAAGCAAATCCCACCTTGGTCTCTGTGGTTCCCAACCCAAATAAGCCTCCCACAAAGAAAGCAAAGTGGGCACGAGTGGAGGCGACTGATGGCACTGAGCAGGGCTGGGAAGACTGCGAGACCACAGAACTGTCTCACAAAGCAGCACAACGAAAGGAGGAGTCGGCAGTTCGAGTTTGCATAGAAGGGCACTCCTTGCGTCCTGAGGTTGAGGCAACCTCTGTCACCAACTGGGTAGAGAATGAAAAGCCAGGAGAGAGCCCAGCTCAAACTTACGAGCCAGCCTCAAAGCACAGCCACTCCCTGGAGATGTGTAACATGGGACCATTGGAAACTATCAGCAATGGCGTCTTGGGAAATGAAGGTGGGAGTGAGAAAACAGAAGACAGTGTAGAAGGAGATACATCAGAAGACCGAGAGAGCATGGAGGTTGATCAACATCGTGGAACTTCCTTGAAACTGGACAACAGTGTCTTTTTGGACGAAGACAGTAACCAACCAATGCCTGTCGGCAAATTCTTTGGGAATGTAGAAATCATGCAGGTGAGTGGCATTCAGCCCGAGGGTCTGTTATTCCATGACCAGTGAAGTTTAAAGGCTTGGTGACACTTTAGTGCTGGTGAAGACACTGAAAGATCAGAAGAAACCAAGAAGCGTGAGGAGGGAAGATTAGGGACACCTGAGCACTGGAACAGGAGGAGGCATTCAACAGAACAACAATAACAACTTGCATTTATATAGCGCCCTTCACGCTGGGCGGAGTCTCATAGCACTTATCAGTGGCAGATCCCGATGCCAAACCAGAGGGAAGGTGACCCTAGGCACGGTCGAAGAGGAAGAAATTCAAGTGCAACTTGAAAATGGGGAGAGCGGGGCAAGGTGAAGGGATTGAGGGAGAGAGTTCCACAGCTTCGGGGCGTAGTGACTGAAAGCACGGCCACCAATGGTGGGGTGGAGGGCCCGGGGACAAGGATGAGGCCAGAGCCAGTTGAACGGGGGAAGCGGGTGGCGGTGAAGGGAAAGAGTAGGTTAGAGAGAGGGGGTGGGTGCCAGAGTGTGAAGGGATTTCAATACAAGTTTGAGGATCTTGAAATCGTTCCACTCTGTGATAGGGAATCAATGGAGTTTGTCAAGGACTGGGGTAATGGAGGTACGGAGTTTACTGTGGGTGAGAATGTGGGCGGCGGAGTTTTGACTTAGTTGAATTTTGTGAATACTGGAGCTGGGGAGACCAGCGAGGAGAGCGTTGGAGTAGTCGAGGTGGGAGGTGACGAAGGCACAGACTAGAGTTTCAGCAGCTTTTGGAGTGAGATACAGTTGAGTTTGTTGCACCAGTTTCTTGGATCTTCACAAGTCTTTTTCGCTCTATATCCACGCCTTCCGAAGAAAATAGAACTGTTCCGATTGGGCAAGTTGTTCTCCTTTTCCACTGTGCATTTTCCCCTTTGTCCCGGAACCTTTCCAGAGCATCCGGGTTTGATTCTCGGGTTATGTGAAACCTTAGGCAAGTTACTTTACTCCACACGCCTCTGTTTACCTAGCAGTAAGCAGGAAGCTGGGTGTTAGTTGATTGGCTGATCGCTCTTCTGGTAGGAGAGCCAAGGGATAGATCATCCCTTTAAAAAATCCCTTCATTCAATCCATGACTGTTTGCGGAATGCTGCTGTGCACAATTGGCTGCTGTGTTTCTCCCATAAAATACACATTCACTACACTTTACAGTGTATTCTGTGAAGCGCTTGGAGACATCTCAACAAAGTGATATCAAATGCAAAGATTGTCTGTTTCAGGATCTTCCACCATTCATGCCGATGCCGGAATCTCTGACCCGGAGAGAGTACAGGAGACGGCATTTCATCGCGAAAGAGGACGAGGACGAAGACCTGATAGAACAGGGAGCTGGCGAGAGCGTAGGAGAGCCAAGGGATAGGCCTGTCTCCGGAGTGGGGGTGAGTAAAGCAAATGTGTTGTGTTTGTTCCTGAATGAGAAGGTGGGGGGACTGTGAGGATGCCGGTTGGAGTTACTGTGTGGCTGATTTCAGTTGAGAATGAATCTGTACAACCAGAAGTAATAATAATAATAACAATGCTAGGATGATGATGATAATAATAATCCTTGCATTTGATATAGCGCATTTCCAGCCTGTGAATCCTCTGCCTGGCCCACCGTGCACATACACATCCCCACCCTCCCTGTTAGTCCTCCCCACTCCCCCATCCCTGCCCCCCCCCCACCATACTCCGCCACCAATTATCCCTCTGCATCGGCATACAAAATGTCTGCTCCCTCTCCAATAAACACTCACCATCCAAGACCTCATTGTTGACGAAAACATCAACATTCTCGCCCTCACTGAAAGCTGGATCACTCTCGGCGATGCTTTCCCCCTGACAGAGGCCACAGCACCCGGCTACACCTTCCATCATACCCACGACCTAACCGCCGTGGTGGCAGGGTGGTTCTCATCTCCCGGTCCTGCTCGGCCTATTCCCTTACTCCTCCCAAACCTTCCCTTCCTTTGAGCGCCCTACCCTTTATTAGCCCTCCAACCTTTCCCTCAAAATTCTCCTTAACTATCACCCCACCTTCCTCCCCAACATCTCCACCCTTTTATCTTCCCTCTCCCTCTGCTGCACATGCCTCCTCATCCTAGGCGACTTCAACCTTTGCATCACCCCTTCCTGCTCTACTTCTGCTGACTTCTCCTCATGAAAGTCACCATGATTCACCAGCCACCTCCGCTCCTTTAAAGCACAGATGGTGCCGCTGAACGCACCTGGCTTAAATTGTAACAATCCATCGGCAGATCTGTCTGAACCTTATCAAATCATACTGCTCCCCCTTCGCCTCCTTTAAATCGTCGTTCAACTCCAAGACAATCTTGGAGGCCAAGGACAAACCCAGGCACCTCTTCTCCATCACCATTCCTGCTCTCAAACTACCGCCCTGTCTCCAACCTCCTTTCCTCTCCAATATCCTGGAATGAGTGGTTACTTCCCAGCTTCCTCCTTCCTCTCCCGCCACACCTTTCACAAACCCCTCCAATCGGGTTTCCGTGTTGCCCACAGCACAGAACCCACCCTTGTCAAAGTGACAAATGGCATTCTGTCCATCTGGGACCAGGGCTCCCTCTGCTTCCTCGTCCTCCTTGACCTCTCTGCTGCCATCGACACTGTCGACTACTCTATCCTCATCCACCGCCTCTCCTCTCACCTCATGGTTCTGTCCTTGAATGATTCAGATCGTACCTTTCACACCACCTGCACTTCATCTCCATAAATGGCTTCTCCTCTAGCCCCCGCACTGTCTTGTGTAGTGTTCCTCAGGGCTGTGTCCTTGGTCCCCTCCTCTTCAATATCTATAGGCTCCCTCTTGGTGACATCATCCGCAGACATAGGGTCAACTTCTCACCTCAGCCGCTGACAGCATTACCATCCATGGTTACACACTCCACCTTGCTAAGCCAGTCCGGGGTCTTGTTTGACCCTCAACTATCCTTTCTACCCCACATCTGCGCCATGACCCGCTCTGCCTTCCCAACATTCGCAACATCATCCTGCTCCGGCTCTGTCTCACACCGCAGGCCACCGAGACCCTCATACATGCTTTCGTTACATCAAAGCTTGATTATGCAAACTCACTGCTTGTTGGTCTCCCCGACTCCTCCCTCCACAGGCTGCAGATCATCCAGAACTCTGCAGCCCGTGTCCTCTCCCGCAATAGGCTCTGTGACCCTATCATCCCCATCCTCGCCCGACTCCACTGGCTTCCCATCACACAGAGGGTTCAAGATTCTGATTCTCACCTTCAAAGCTCTCCATGGCCTCACTCCGCTTACCTCTGTGACCTCCGAACCCCCTACCAACCTCCACTCAGTGGGCTCCGGTCTGCTTCACGTCCCACTGTTTCACCATTGGCGGGCGGGTCTTTCTGCCACTCTGCCCCCACCCTCTGGAACTCCATCTCACAGTCGCTCCGCCTTGTCCCCTCTCTTGCCTCCTTCAAGACCCATCTCAAACCCTCCTCTTCAACTGTGCTTTAAGCTCTCTGAGACGTTACCCTGCGTGGAGAGTGCTATAGAAGTGCAAGTTATTGTTTTGTTTTGGTTTCGATCAGCCTCGTTTCTCCCCCCCCTGCCCTCTACCCTCCCCAATCCCAACCCCCAGCTCGGGTCCGGGACTGACTGTCCAGCGCCTTGAGAATGTAATTTTGTTGTTGTTGTTTCATTTGGTAACCGAGCACACGTGAGATGTCCTGTCTTTGATAACAGAGTCATGCCCACGACCTCGGGGTGAGGTTATATATTTGTAGATTGGGGAGTGGGTCAGAGGTGGGGGGTGGATTAAACTGACCTTGTTTAGGGTGCCTCACAGGAATGGGTCTGTATGTATGTGTGTGGGGGAAGTGGTGGGGGAAATGCCCTCTCGTTCTGCTTCTCGGTCATCAGGTCACTGTTGGCATCACTTCTGGTGCGGCCTGGCACGCTGCCTCCGCTCAACCGGCTCCGGTCTCCTGCTTGTGCCTTGTGCCCCCTGTTCCAGCATCAGTGGCCGCGCTTTCAGCCACTACACTCCGAAACTCTGGAACCCTCCATCCCCATCTTCAGGTCGCGTGTGCCTTTGTGCATTATAACGGGGTCACTCTGTGCTTCTGTTTGCATTACATACAGTGGAAACATCAAACGTCTCAAAGCGTTTCATGTGCATTTGCTGTCAAGTCACATTTCCTTTCATGTTGCTTTCTGAACATAATTAGCTTTTCACAGTCATTGCTGTTACAGAGACTGTATTTGTAGGCAAAAAGCTCATTTGAATGACAATGCAGCGCTCCACCAATACTGAGCTGTAGCATCAACCGGCACCGGGAACTGGAGAATCTTTCCCCCTGTATATAGATTTTTAAATCGATAGATTTTTAAAAACTAAAGGGATTAAGGGATATGGGGATAGGGCGGGTAAATGGAATTAGGTTAGCCATGATTTTATTGAATGGCGGAGCACAGGCTCGAGGGACCGAATGGCTTACTCCGCTCCTATTTCTTATGTTCTTATATTAACTGTGAAATTTGCTCCAAGCCCCAAATAAGGTGAGGCTCATTAATCCGTATTCACGTTCTCTCTTCAAAGATATCTGCGGACCTTGAGCCAATGGCTGTGCAGAACATGCCAGAAATGCTGAAGAAGTGCTTGTGACAATCTCCCGGGATGTAGAGACTCCTAACCAACACGCAGCAAAGCAGAGACGTTTGTTTGCAAAGAGACTTCTCCAGATGACCCCACGTGCTGGCTTGAACATGAGCCAACACTTGCCGTTGCCTCGTCCACATTTGCACCAAGTGCCATGTTTAGTCCTTAAGGATTTTGCTGTTGTTTCAGCTGTTTTGCTCTACTTTAATGCATTTTTATGTTGATGTTTGCAAGACAGGCCCAACAAACTCTTGTGTAGCGAAAACAGGGCAGTAACCAAATTACTTGTGGCCCTGTCAGATCTCGCTGTTTAATCTCTGGGGCAAAATGAGTGGCGTTTGGCATTTTTTGCAGTGTGTTGCCAGAGTGGGTGAGATGTGCTATCCACACTGATTCCTTTAAAGAGTCGAGATCATAATTTAATGCTAGTATTGAGCTTTCAAAGAGCAGATGGGAAACTTTCACAGTTGTTTTCTGGGATCGTCAGTGAAATGAGAGGGGAAGATTCTGCCATTGAGCATGGCTTTCTATGTACAGCCTGCGCTGTCCACCATTCACCGGTTCATGGGATTTAATTTGAGAAACCGAGGGCAAGGCAGAGCTGGGGTAATTACTGCAAAATTTCGAGAGAGGTTGTAATGATTAGAAGATGTAGCAATAGATGTAGCTGCTCTCCAGAGAACTGGCAGCCAATGGAAGATGAATCAAATAAAACCCATTATGCAGACATTACGCTATTACACCGAGCGCCAGCATATTAGGGGGTGACCTCAACCACCTCAAAAAGCTAATCCAAAGAATAAAACAATCCTTTGCATTTGTGATGTTGCTTTGTGTGCAGTTATTGGCAAATCCCTGACTGTCCAGCGCCTTGGGACATTGGGACATCCTCCCCACATGAAAGGCACTATACAAATATAAATCGCTGTTATTGTTGGTAGCATATTGAATTGGAGAGAGATTTTCAGAATGCTGAATCCTAAGAAAAAAAAGCCTGATAGTTTTCACACACGATTGAGTTTGGGGTAAAATGATTAATCTTTGCTGATTTAGTTTTTCCATCAATGTTCCATCAGGTTCTTTTTCCTAGAGTGGAGACGGTTGATGGGGTGACCTGATTGAAGTGTTTAAGATGATGAAAAATAAAGCTAGATAGCGGATAGCTGTTGCCCCTGGTCTAGAGATCTAAACCGAGGGGAAGGAATCGTAAAATTAGACCAAGTTGATTGCAAATATAAGATCAGAAATCCTTTGAAGAAACGTATTAGTGCAAGGTTGTACATTCAGAATTGCTTTGAGACATTTAATGTGAAGGTGGATAAATAATAGCCTTCAGCTTCTCTGCCCCAACCCTTTGGAATTCCACCTCACGGTCCTTTCGCCTTGCTCCCTCACTTGCCTCCTTCAAGGCACGTCTCAAGACTCTTCTCTTCGACTGCGTCTTAAGCCACCCTCCATCCCTCCTGATCCCAACCCCCAGCTCGGGTCCAAACCTCTGACTGTCCAGTGCCTTGGGACGTCCTCCTGATGTTAAAGACGCTATACAAATGTAATAATACTAATAGAGCAATGCGATTCATTTATCTATTAAAATGGCAAGAAAGTTAGTTTGATGAACCAAATTGATCTCTTCCTGCTCCTAAAGGAGGGGTAGGCGAGCGTGAATGCTGCTAGGGTTATTTTGGAGTGAGGATTGTAGGCAGTAATGGGTGTGGGATATGGTGAATTATTTGTTCGCTGAATTATATGTGCTGCGCATGGGGAATGCTGAGTCATTTATGCTTGCTGTCCAATCCTACCTTACCACTCAGCGCAAAAAAACATTTACAAAACATTCTTTCCACCCATGTCCTTAATCACACCTCGTCAACCTAGCTGTTTGACCTATAGAGCGAGCCAAGTACATTTCTCATTGGGGAGAGGACGGAGCCCAAATGGGACACGGCTGGAGTGACAATCTAATTATAACTGAATGTTGGAACCCGTCATGGCTATTGCGAAGCCTTCAATTATTTACGCCCATGCTGGTCTGACCTTTACGTGAAGCAAGGCAATGGTCTGCTCACATATAGGCTTAACCTTCAATGCCCACATTTGACAATTGAGTCTTGAGAAACGTTTCAACAAAGACCACTACAGGCTGTCCACAGACGGCTGTTATCGGTACAGGAACCAGAACACCACCTGGGTTTTCTTTTTTGCTTCCTGGTTAACTCTATCACTCTCATCTTCGCCTGGCACAGATTGGCCAAGTCATCTCACAACCTTCCTGGTCTGTAAACCAATTGCCAACTTTAAAATGTAGTGACGATGGGAGATGTAAGCAATGAACTAGCAAAGCCAGGCAGACAATCATTTTAGATATATATATATAGTTTGGGACATGACATGTCATGAGACAGCCAGGATGATGGACCTTGGTTTTCTTTCAGCGAAGCAATTCTTATGTTCTTAATTCCAGGATCTTGTCCGATTTACCGGTCTGTCTGGCTCCGTAATCTGACTTTGATGTGCAGACGTGACCTCAATCATCTACAATCCAAAGCCCTGACTGGCCAGGCAATCCAATCTGGGCAAACCGGCCAGTTACTTTCCACAGATTATGTCAAACTAGCTGTACCCGTTGCAGCTTCACTTGCAACCAAAGGATCCAATATGGAATGTAAACGCACAGCCAGACACACAGACACACATTTCATCTTTACCTATACTCAGCTGGGAAGACTCCTGTGGGAGGACTTGGCGCTTTAAAAATGTAATTTTGTTGTTGCCGCGACTTAGCTTTGTCTATGTTCTTTATTTTGCTCCCGCCACTGCGTGGCTACGTGCTCTGTGACACAGCAGACCACAGCCCATATATGTAACTGCAGTGTGTGCGTACATACGTAGATGCTCTGTGAAGCATGATGCTACAGCGCCTGTTTGACTTGGCGGCCAGCAGGTGTAAAATGCAAAACTGAAAATAACTCATGAACAATAGGATATACCCGAAAACAAATATGCCCATGTCACTCCCAGTCCCAAGCCCTTACCGATGAGGCATAAATCATGTCTCTACGTCAATCAGTTATGGAGATCCTTCTTGAAGCGCAGACAGACATTGTCGTTTTACTTGTCTAGAAGATGTTTCCATCATCACATCCCGGTGATCTAGGAACTAAAATTTGACTCAATTGTCTGCCGCATTTTGCCCACAAAATATATAATCGATTCACTTCAGTTTATTTCATGAAGCGCTTTGAGACATCTAGAAGATGTGATAAGGCGCTTTATCAAATGTGAGGATTATTATTATCTTAATTATGAATTTTAGTCATACCGATACACCAGCTGTGCACATCAACAGCTCATGGCTTCACTATTCCAGAGGCTTTGAAATGGAAGAGGAGGAAAGGTAAAGACTTTGGAGAAGATTCTGAAACTGATTTTCTGTAGGTTCTTTCAGGATCTCCAATTATTTAAGAATTTGCCAAATTTTACACATTTTGTTTTGAAAGGCTAATAGCGCCTCCAACACTGAACTGCCCGTCCTTCCTCACCCCCCAGGAGTATCAGCCTGGATTGTGAGCTCAGTTACTGATGTTGGGTTTCTGACACAATGCAAGTCAAGACCCAGATGGAATTTCTCTTTCCCCCACCCCCACCCCTCCCTCGTCACCATCTCCAGAAAGGCAGAACTTCTGTAACTTTCTGAGGAATCTATAATGTTGCCTGCTCACATGCTCCCAAGCACGGCTTCCCAGGTGAGTACGAGATGGGTTTCTATTGCGTTGCTTTACCTGTTTACGTGGAGTCCTGTAGCTCAGTGGTTGAGCACTCGCTTTGCAAGCGAGAGACCTGAGTTCAATTCCAGGCAGAGGGCGAAACCTTGGGCAAGTTTGCTTACTCCACACAGAGCCTAATAATAATCCCTCCAAAACCAAAAACAATAATAAATTGGTCATTTTCAATCCATGACTGTTTGTGGGACATTGCTGTGCGCAATTGGCTGCCGCGTTCGCCCACAAATATGCAGTCAATTCACTTTACAGTGTGTTCTGTGAAGCGCTTTGGGACGTCCTCCAGACGTGAAAAGCGCTATATCAAATGCAAGGATTATTATTATTATTATTGTTGTTGTTCAGACACTCTTCAGAGACGGACCTGCGATTGTCCCACTGAGTCCCATTCAGAGGCGAGATCTTTTATTCAGTGTTCGCTCCGTGGTTGTGTGTGGGACACTGCTGAGCACAATTGTGGGGTCCTGAAGCTCTGTGGTTAGAGCACTCGCTTCGCAAGTGAGAGACCTGGGTTCGATTCCTGGCAAGGCAAAACCTTGGGCAAGTTTCCTTACTCCACCGCCTGATAATAATACCGCAAGAAAAGAACAATAATAATTTGGTCAACTGTTTGTGGAACGCTGCTGTGCGCAATTGGCTGCCGCGTTTCGCCCACAAATATATACAATCAATTCACTTCACAGTATTTTCTGTGAAGCGCTTTGAGATGTCTAGTAGACATGATTAGGCACTATATCAACTGCAAGGATTATTATATTTATTAAGTCGAGAATCAACTCTGAGTTGGATCTAAATCAGTAAATTAAAAGTGCCTTGGGACGTCCTCCCGACATGAAAGGCGCTATACAAATGTAATCTTGTTGTTGTTAAAAGTGACCCTTTTCAATGTGATTTGGCTCCTCAAACAGGCTTGCCCCCCTCCCCAAAACAAACCTGTAAGTGTAATCAATATTTCTTTACCATTTTGCCGCCCTTCTGCTCCCCCCATCTTGAGCTCCAAGTTTCATGAAGCTCTCCTCCCAATGTGAAAGATGCTATAACAATCTCTTATAGGCAAAATGCGACAGCCAATTACGCAGAGCAGTGTCCCACAAACAGTCCTGGATTGAGTGACCAAATTTTTTTTAAAAAAAGCGATTATTAATCCAGGAAAAGCGATCTGTCAATCGACTAACAACTGGGTTCCTACTTACTGTTAGGTAAACAGAGGCGTGTGGAGTAAGGAAACTTGCCCAACATTTTGCCCTGCTGGGAATTGAACCCAGGTCTCATCACTGAGCTACAGGACTCCACAACAGCTTTGTTGTGTAGACAGCAAAAATGCAAATGTGAGAATTTGGTAATTTCAAGTTTTATTTTGGTTGATTTATTTCTGCTGACTTTGATACTGGGAGAAAGTCTTGTGTCAGTCTTGAAAGTCTTTGTTTCCGTCTCCGTCTTGTTGCTGATTTTGTTCAGACAACTTACTTCCCAAAGAAATCCTCCCCAAGTGTGATTTTTTTTGAATCCAGGATAGTAGTTGTTTTTTTTCCCCGCAACCTCTCAAAGTCACCCAGCTCTTAATATTAATAGTCCACTATAGAATTCATTTGTTTCTGATCATGTGAAAAGTTTAAATAACTTATTTCAAAGAATGATTGAAGAGGAAGAATATTAACGGGTGGGAGTAAATTTGTTAAAGCACCAGCTCCCAAATTAAGACTAAACTGAAGAATTTTCCAATATTTTGACGTTATTCTAAGATAAAAGTGGGATTTTCGGCCTCCGATTTCAAATCCATTTTGATTTAAAAAAAATTTCTGTTCATGAGTGGGAACGGCTGAAATCATTCCCGCACGCTGCTGTGGAATATTAGGAGGATTTGCTTCATGTAAATTGTTGTTGTTGTTGCATTTCTTGGAGTTCAACTTCACCGTTTCCTCTTCCTGTAAAACTTGGACCTGTCGCAAGAGAGCTTGTGGTTGGTTTTCTTGTGGCACGCGATCTGCACCAGCTTCAGGTTGTCCAGCGTGAACAGGAGGCTGTAGAAGTACTTGGAGTTGATTTCCCGAGTCTTGCACTTTTTAATGGCAGACGCCAGCGCTGGAAGGATGGTTCGTTTCTTCTCTATCCTGTGGGTGCAACTTGGAAAGTAATGCGGCCGCAACCACGTTAACTCGACTCCCACGCGGAGTCCGACCCCACTCTCGGTGTTCCACATTGTAATGCGCAATTAGCTGACGCGTTTCGCCCGCAGAATACACAGTCACTCCACTTTTGCTCATAATGGGCAATTTCAACCTCCACCTAATCTCCCCTTGCACTACTTCTGCCAACTTCACTGCCCTCCTCTCCACCGTAAACTTCACCCTTCATATAAATTCACCTGCCCACAACCGTGGTCATGCACTTGACCTCGTTATCAATCATGGCCTTGACATTTCCGACCTCAGCATAGTGGACAAGGCCATCTCGGACCATTTCCTCAGCTCCTTCTCCTCTCACATCTCTCTCTCCTCCACCAAGCCCTCAACCATCCTCTGCTGCCCTTGGGAAAGGCTACTCCCTGAGACCTTCACAAAGGCCCTCTCATCATCAAACATCCTATCCCTCTGGCCTTCCATCCGCGGAGATCCTGAAGCAGCCATCCAGCTGCTCCATGATCGCCTCTCCTCCACCTTCAACTCCCTCGTCCCCCTAAAATCCAGGACCATCTCCAAACCCATCCAATCCCCCTGGTACAACAACAATCTCCACTGCCTAAAAACTCAAACCTGGCTGCTCGAGCACATATGGCGGAAAACTGGCCTGACAGTCCACCGCCAACTGTGGCTCGAGCATCTCCACCGTTCCACGTGCAAAAACGGCCTTTTACTCCAACATCATCTTGGAGGCTAAACACAACCCCAAAATCCTTTTTTCCACCACCCACTACCTCCTCTGTGTCCCCCCTCAGGCCTCCTCAATCTTCAGATCAAATGTCAAGGTCATGGACTTCTTTTCATCTAAAATGCATAAAATCCGCCAGGCAGCCTCATACACCTGCCCCTTGTCACCCACCACCATGCCCTCTCTGGCCCCCTCACCCTCCTCATCATCTGCTCCTACCACCACCCCATCCTACATTCCTTCCTCCCCATCTCTCCCTCCTCGCTCTCACCCACCATCGCCTCCAGGAAATCCACCACCTGCTGCCTCGACCTCCTCCCCACCAACTTACTGGTCACACAGCTCCCCTCCTCCACCCACTACTGGCTGAGGTCATCAACCAGTCCTTCTTCGGATCAGTCCCTGCCTCCCTCAAAACGGCTGTCATCACCCCCCTCCTGAAAAAACCCTCTCTAGATCCCTCAAATCCCACCCTATTTCTAACCTGCCCTTCCTCTCAAAAGTTCTAGAACGCGTTGTTGCAAACCAACTCCGCACACACCTCTCCTCCCACTCCCTCTTCAAACCCCTCCAGTCCAGTTTCCACAGAACAGAGACTGCGCTGTGAAAGTCTCAAACGACCACCTCTCTATCTGCCTCCTTGTCCTCCTGGACCTCTCCGCAACGTTCAACACAGTTAATCGCGCCATCCTCCTCCATCGCCTTTCCTCCGTCATCCACCTCAGTGGGACCGCACTCGCCTGGTTCGAGTCCTACCTCACAAACCGCCAGCAGTACATCTGCATAAACGGCTTCTCCTCCCGTTCTCACCCGGTCACCTGCGGGGTACCCCAAGGATCCATCCTTGGCCCCCTCCTCTTTCTGATCTACATGCTCCCTCTTGGGCATGTCATCCCCAGACATGGCGTACATTTCCACATGTACGCAGACGACACCCAACTCTATTTTTCCATCTCTCTTTGCGACCCCCAGTCCCCTGATGTTCTGTCAGCTGCCTGCCAGACCTCAGGGGCTGGATGAGCGCAAATTTTCTTCAGCTGAACGTTGACAAGACAGAGGCCATACTCTTTGGCTCTCGTCAACGTCTAAAAGCTCACGGTTCTCACCTCCTCCATCTACCCGACCTCTCCTTAAAACTCTCCGAACCCGTACGCAACCTCGGCGTCAGGTTTGACCCCCAATTATCCTTCCTCCCCCACATCCGGTCCCTCACCAGCACCGCTTTCTAACATTTGACGTATCGCCCGTCTCCGTCAATACCTTTCTCCGAAAGCCGCTGAAACCCTGGTCCATGCCTTTGTCACTTCCTGGCTGGACTATTCAAACGCCCTCCTCGCCGGTCTCCCATCCACTACCATCCATAAGATCCAACTCATTCAGAACTCTGCCGTCCGCGTTCTCACCCACACGAAACTGCGTTTTCCGATCACCCCAGTCCTGCCCAGACTGCTCTGGCTGCCTTTCCCAGAGAGGATCGACTCCAAGATCCTCACTCTTGTACTCAAGGCCCTGCACTCCTCTGCACCCCCCGACCTCTCTTACCTTCTCTCTCTTCAACAACAACAACAAGATTGCATTTATAGAGCGCCTTTCACGTCGGGAGGACGTCCCAAGGCGCTGCACAGTTGGGTCAGGACCCAAGCATTGGGGGGAAATGGTCAGGGTGAGGGGAGGGAAGGGAGGGAGCGAGGAGGGGGTAGAGAGTTGAGAGGGGAGCTGAAGGCTGAAGGTCAAAGAGAAAGGTCTTGAGACCGGCCTTGAAGGAGGAAAGGGAGGAAGCGGCGAAGGCACTGGGGATAGAGTTCCAGAGCCTCGGGGCTGAGAGGCTGAAGGCCCGGCCACCGATGGTAGGGCGGTTGGGGCGGGGGATGTGGAGTAGACCGGAGCCAGAGGAATGGAGGGTACGGGCGGTAGGTAGGGGGATAGTAGGTCGGAGAGGTAGGAGGGAGCGAGGCCGTGAATGGCCTTGTAGGTGAGGATGAGGATCTTGAATTCAATCCTCTGGGGGATGGGGAGCCAGTGGAGGCGAGCGAGGGTGAGGGGGAGGGTGAGGGTGAGGGTGGGAGTGGTGTGGTCACGGTGTCTGGTGCGGGACAGTACACGAGCTGCAGAGTTCTGAATGACCTGCAGTGTGGAGGGAGGGCCGGGAAGGCCGACGAGGAGAGAGTACAACACAGTACCCGTTGCCTTCATTCCTCCAGGTCTGACCTCCTCCTCGTCCCCCGAGTCCCTCCGCTCCACCCTCGGCGGCTGTGCCTTCAGCCACTACTCCCTGAGGCTCTGGAACTCCCTTCCTCACTCCCTTCGCCTCACGACTTCTCTTCCTATTTTCAGGTCTCTGCTGAAGACCGTTCTTTTCAACTGCACCTTTGGTCACCTTCCCCCCCCCACCTCCCCTTGGCTCCTCTACCTCCCCCCAGCTGCCCCCCTCCCCCCGGCTCCTCCCCCCTGGCTCTCCCCCTGGCTCCTCCCCCTCCCCCCAGCTCCCCCGCTCTGGGTCAGAAACGACATCAATGAGGCTCACCATCTCGGGACTCACAATCTCGGCCGACATTCCTGGGGTGAGGGTGAGGATGAGGGGCCCAAACTATGTGCTGTATCCCGAGATATTATTTCCTAAAACAAATCTATTTAATTTTCTTTTGAAAGAATCAACATTTTCTGCTTCTACCACCTGTCTCCCGAGGGAGCTCGTGCCATACATTCACCACTCGCTCACTGAAGTAGTGTGTCCGCAGATTTGTTTTTAATTTCAATCGCAGGCCGGTTCTTCTAGCTTTACTGGATATTTTCAGATGAGACACTGAGCAGAGGTCCGCCTATCTGCCTAATTATCCTTGAAATGTCAGAAGCAGCAAAGTAGGAAAGCAAATGGAATGCGTAGGTGTTTAGCCATTGTTAACCCACCTGTGATCAAGATTCCAGGTGCTGAAGACAATTCTGCTTTCCTTGTTTGCGTAGGGGTTGATTGAATGTTTGGAGCTGCAAGAATCCATATCAAACGCTCCCTGAAAATGAACAGCCACGAATGAGCCTTTGTTAATTCCACCACATCTCGATTCAAGATCCAAACAAAGACACCTCGTCTCAGCTGATAACACTCTCATCTCCGTCTCAAAGGGTAGTAGCAGTGGGAGTTTAGTTCATCACCTCATCCTAAAGATGATACCTCCAGTAACACAGGCCCACCCCTAATGTTATTCCCGAGTGTAGCCTGGACTGTTAGGCCAAAGTCATTGATGAGGACAATCCACAACCTCTAACCAAAGGCAAGAATGAGACCACCTGAGCCAGGTTGTCACTAACTTGGCCACGAGTACCCACCTGGCATTGGAACCATCCCTTGTCATCACAGAGCCGTTCCTTCTGGTTTTCTCTCCTGTTGAAGTAGTGCCCATTGAATTTTACTTCTCTGAGCATATTCTCCATTTCTTTCACAGTGTTAATGAACTGTTGATGAGTCTTTGTATCCATTTTGGAGGCATATTTCTTAACCTGAGGGATAGGAAGACAACTTAAAACTTAACCAAGTCCGTGGAGTGAAGTAGCGTAGTGGTTAGAAAACTCACCTCTCAAGCGAGAGGACCTGGGTTCGATTCCCAGGCAGGGCGAAACCATAGGCAAGTTTTCTTACTCCACACGCCTCTGTTTACCCCGCAGTAAGTAGGAACCTGGTTGTTACAATTGTCTACCTCACATTTTGCCTACAAAATAATTCACTTAACAGTATGTTCTGTGAAGCGCTTTGAAACGTCTCGAAGACACGAAAAGGCGATAAGACAATTGGTGGATCACTTTCTGGGGATAATAATCTCCCCACCCGCAAAAAAAATTAATAATTTGGTCACTCAATCCACGACTGTTTGTGGGACGCTGCTGTGTATTATTGGCTACCGCGTTTCGTCCACAAAATATACAGTTAATTCGCTTTATAGTATATTCTCTGAAGTGGTTTGAGACGTCTCAATGACATGATAAGGCGCTATATCAAATGCAAGGATTATTATTACATTACAACAACCTGGAGTGAAGTAAACAGCTGTGTTATATATTATGAACAATCATATTCTCCCCACTTACCTCCGTCAGGTAACCTCTTATTCTGCAGCTACAATTGTGCTTCATGTATTGAGATTTGCTCTTAAATCTCTCATCGAGACCTGGAAAGAAGTCAATTATTTTATTTGCGATTACCGTTTGTGGGAAAAAAANTCAGTTTCTGTGCAACTTAAAGTGGGAAACAACTTGATATGAATTTTCCAGAATTGTGTTCGATGTAAAGACTATTGGTTTCGAGGCTAAGACCATGAAAAATGTAAGTCATCTGGAGCTCTGGATTTTCCAGGTTTTTATAGCTCCTCATTGGGGCAGTGCCACAGAATGGTCAAACTCCACCTGGGAAAGGGAGCCTGATGAACTTGTGGAGTCCTGTAGCTTAGTGGTTAGAGCACTCGCCTCACAAGCGAGAGGACTTTGGTTCGATTCCTGACAGGGTGAAATGTTGGGCAAGTTTCCTTACTCCACCCTCTTCTATTTACAAACAGTAAACAGGAACCGGTTGTTAGTCAATTGGCGGATCACTTTTCCGGGGGCAATAATACCTTCAAAAAAATGTTTTAAAAATATTATTTTTAGTCACAAGATACACACTTTACAGTATATTCTGTAAAGCGCTTTGAAACATCTCGTATCATATGGAATGATTATTTTTAATATTACTTCACTCAAAAGAAGTATTACCTTCAAACCACTTTCCGTCCTTAACACATTCGTCGGCTTCAATATTTTCATCCAGACTTTGAATGAAACCCTGGAGCAGCTTTCTCCTCTTTGGTGCCATATCATCAGTCAACATGCCTCTCATGGCCTCCATCAATTTATTGTTGTTGTTTTCGTCCATTTGATCCAATAATTGCTCCAAATGAAAAGTCACTGAAGAACAGAGATTGGCATTGGAACATGAGCATTGAACAATAACACCATCTGCAAACAATTGCCCACCAGCCACCAAGCTTAATTTATACCTCTCTTGTCCCTGGATCCAAAGATTATCTGCAGCTTAGTGGTTAGAGCACTCACCTTGCAAGCGAGAACAAAATGTTGGGCAAGTTTCCTTACTCCACAAGCCAACTTTTCGCCCTGCCCAGGAATCGAACTGAAGTCCTCTCGCTTGCGAGGCAAGTGCTCTAACCACTAAGCTACAGGACTCCAACAACGAAGGAGTCCGACTATAATAATAATAATAATAATAATAATAATCCTTGCATTTGATATAGCGCTTTTCACGTCGGGAGGACGTCCCAAAGCGCTTCACAGAACACACTGTAAAGTGAATTGACTGTATATTTGTGGGCGAACGCGGCAGCCAATTGCGCACAGCAATGTCCCACAAACAGTCATGGATTGAAAATGACCAATTTATTATTGTTTTTGGAGGGATTATTATTAGGCGTGTGGAGTAAGGAAACTTGCCCAAGGTTTCGCCCTCTGCCTGGAATTGAACTCAGGTCTCTCGCTTGCAAAGCGAGTGCTCTAACCACTGAGCTACAGGATTATGGAAGTGTGACCCGACAATGAAGAAGAAAGAGTCTCCTGGGAGAAAGCTGTGGAGGGCTGGCACCTACCTCCGACCCCCTGAGACTCCTTCCTCATAATGACCAGCTCACTGTTCTGCTTCAAATCTGCAAAATTTGCTTCTTCAATTATCGTTCCATCTTCAGCTGCACAGATGTAGGCATCCACTGGCTCAAACTGTAGAAACATAAAGAGGAACGATCAAATCCCACTGGCATTCTGGTTGCAGCCCAACTCAGATTCTGTGACAGTGATGGAATATCCCAGGTACAACTGACAGTGCTCACAATGATGAGACATTAAACTGAGGTCCTGTCAACCTGTCTAAGTGAATGTTAAAGATCCCGTGACACAATTCAAAAAGAGAGGGGAATTTCTCCTGACGCTCTAGCCAATAATCTCAAAGAGCTTCACAGAAAATTGCTGTCAATTGCAGTCACTGTGTATTTGTTGGTGAATGCGACGATGAAATGTGTACAGCAAGGTCAACCACAAATGGCCATGAAGTGAAAGACCAATTTTATCTGGGGGATTGTTGCCCAGGACCCTGAGAGAGAGAAATTCCCTTCTCTTTCCCGACACAGCAGTGAGACAGCAGTCACAGCAGCTTTAACATCCGCACAATCAGGAAAACGGGAACTTGGTGTCATATTTTATCCAAAGACGGGCATCGCTCTGTCATCCCCCCACCCCCAACCCCCCACCCCCCGCAATGCTGCCTGGACTGTGGGCTCAAGTCCCGCCTTGAGTCTTCAATCCACAGCCCTCTGCCCTGGATGTGAAAGTTAACAACAACTTAGATTGATGTGCAAGTTGTGGAGTCCTGTAGCTCAGGGGTTAGAGCACTCGCCTGGCAAGCGAGAGGACCCGGGTTCGATTGCCGAGTAGGACGAAACATTGGGCAAGTTTCCTTACTCCACATCCCTGTTTTCCCAGTAGTGAGTAGGAACCCGGTTATTAGTCGATTGGCGGATCACTAATACCTCAAAAAAATAATACATTGATCACTTCAATCCATGACTGTTTGTGGGACGCTGCTGTGTGCAATTGGCTGCCGCGTTTTACCCACAACTATACGGTCAATTCACGCGCTTTGAGACGCCTCGAAGACCTGATAAGGCACTGCATCAAATGCAAGGCTTATCATTATATAAGTGGCCTTAAAGTGGCAGCGGGTTGGGAGCTCTCAGCAGTTGACGGAGCCTGAATGACAGGATATATTCGTTTCTTCCCATTAAGTGAAGATGTGGACAGTAGATGGGACGTCCTCCTGACCTGAAAAGCGCTATATCAAATAAAAGGATTATTATTATTATTATTATGGATTCACAACCTGAAAGGGGCGCAGACCAGACAAAGGCGGCCACAATTTACTGATTCTCTCCTCTCTGCTCTCTGTTACACTCCTCTCTGTTCCTCCAGCTCTTTTACATGTTCACCACTAAAACCTGGACGTGAGATAAACTCAATCCCATTATTTTCCCTATAACACTGTCTCTATCTCCAAAACACAGACAGCAGCAGCAGCAGCAGCTCACATTAACAAGAGAGAGTGTGAGAGAGAGAGAGAGTGTGTGGTGTTGTGTGAGGAGGTTGGAAAATGCAACAGCAAAGGAGAGCAGTGGAAGGTTTCACCTCAAACTTCCTGCATGACTTCTCCAGCAATTGCTGAAGGTTTTGAGCTGCGATCCCGTATCTTTTGCTGCTCCCTGGACTTCGCACTTTGCACGTCTTCATGTCTCTCAGTAACTCTGCTCCTCTCCTCTCTGCTCTGTTGCATTCCTCTGTTCTTTGTTCCCAACAGCTGATGTTCTGACCCATCAATCAGCCCGAGTCTGGGGGCTCGGACCCCCCCCCCCACTCCCCTCTCCAGGAATTGTAGAGCCCCCCCACCCCACCAGCCCCTGCACAACCTGCAGTTCCCCCCTCCCCACCACAGCTGTCAGCTCACAGAGCAACACGGAAGTCTGAGAACCCTAAACCGTCCCCTCCCCCTCAGCCTTGTCATGAGCCTTGTTATCCTCAGGCCCAGATCCCAAACTTTTAAGATAATAGTTTGAAACAGCAAAGCCTCTGCAGGATCGCGGCAACGTGATCACAGTGTGGATAAATTACCGTCCTGGCGTTCAGTGCAGCGCCCGATCGCGTCTCCGAGACGTCTCCAAGCCCCTCGCGGGACCCACTGTTAAGGGAATCGGCCGTATATTTCGCGCGTGAAACGCGGCAGCCGATCGCGCGCAGCAGAGTGCCCCACGCAAACAGTCGCGGGTTGAGCGACCGAATAATTCTTCGTAGTTTTTGGAAGGGATTATTAGCCCCGGAAAAGCGATCCACCAATCGACTAACAACCGTTAAATGTTTTAATCCACTTTACAGCGTACCCTGTGAAGCGCTTTGGGACGTCTCAACTACTTGATAAGGCGCTACATCAAATGCAAAGATTATTATTATTATAATTAATACAACGCAAAGCATTCACAGGCTTTACTGTAGGGTAATGATCGGGTATTTTGTAGGCAAACGCAGGAGCCAATTTGTGCACAGCGATGCCCCCACAGACAGCCATGAAGTGAATGACCAACTCTTTTCTCTCTGGGCGATTGTCAGCCAGGAGAAAAATCCCTTTTCTTTTCACTTTTCTTTTCAAGTCGCCCCCTGGGATCTTTAACGTCCAACAGAATAGCCGGGTTTAAGTGCTCCAAGACGCCATCGTGTGTAGAAGGGCACAATGTAATAAGCCTTGAATTTAATATAGCGACTTATTACAGCGTTGAGACATCGCAAAGCACTATAGTTAATTCACTTTACAGTCTGTCCTGTGAAGCGCTTTGAGACGTCTCAGAGATGTGATGTGGCGCTGTATCAAATGCCACAATTATTATTATTATTTTTGAAGTGGAGCGACTGTGTATTTTGTGGGTGAAATGCGGTCGTCCACTTTACACTATATTCAACTTAAATGGAAGTTGTTTTTGTTGTTTGATAACTGCCAACTCTCTGGGCTTCCAACTCCCCCCCCACCCCCGGCTCATCCCCCTCCCCGCCCCCCTCACCTCCTCCCCCCCCCCCCGCCCCCCTCCCCCTCCCCCCGCCCCCCTCACCTCCTCCTCCCCCCCCGCGCCCCCTCACCCACCTCACCTCCTCCGCCCCCTCCCCGCCCCCCTCACCCTCCCCCCCTCACCTCCTCCTCCCCCACCCCGCCCCCCTCCTCCCCCCCCGCCCCCCTCCTCCCCCCCCCGCCCCCCCCTCACCTTCGCCCCCTCACCTCCTCCCCCCCTCCCTCGCCCCCCCCCTCAGTTATTGTTGTTGTTGTTGCTGCCGCTGCTGTATTGTCACGTGCTCCGTTGACCCGGAAGGACTACATTTCCCATAGTTCCTGGCGCGGAGTTCCGGCGGCCCCGAGCCCGCGCGGTGCGCGGTGGGAGAGGCCGGAGCCTGACCCGAGCCCCGGGGCCGGAGCAGCGGCCACAGCAGCGCCTGGTGAGGAGGCGTCTGCACCCGGGGAGGGGGGGAGGGAGTGAGAGAGAGAGAGTGAGTGAGGGAAGGAGGGAGAGAGAGAGTGAGGGAAGGAGGGAGAGTGAGGGAGGGAAGGAGGGAGAAAGTGAATGAGTGAGGGAAGGAGGGAGCGAGGGAGAGAAGGAGGGAGGGAGAGAGTGAGTGAGGGAAGGAGAGAGGGAGAGAGTGAGTGAGGGAAGGAGGGAGAGAGTGAGGGAGGGAAGGAGGGAGAGAGTGAGTGAGGGAAGGAGGGAGAGAGTGAGGGAAGGAGGAAGAGAGAGGGAAGGAGTGAGTGAGGGAAGGAGGGAGAGAGTGAGGGAAGGAGGGAGAGAGTGAGTGAGGGACGGAAGGATCGAGAGAAGGAGGGAGGGAAGGAGGAAGAGAGTGAGTGAGAGAGGGAAGGAGTGAGTGAGTGAGAGAGGGAGTGAGTGAGTGAAGGAGAGAGGGGGTGAAGGAAGTAGGGAGTGAGTGAGAGGAGTTTCCAGCCTCCCCTGCGCCCCCTCTCCCAGCATCGCATAGTTTTATTGTTATCTTCACAAGATCACAGTCTGTTTGCTTTTACTTCTGTCTCCGCCGCCGCCGCCTCCTCTCAGCTCCTTTCCTCCTTTATCCATTCTTTCCTTTCCCCCACAGTGACAGCAGTTGCCCCGACTGCCCCACCCCCTGAGAGCTCTGCGTGCAAAAAAAATTACTATTTGTTAAATAACAAAAAATTAAATCGGCTCAGCTCATCTTGAAGCCCATCGTTAGGGATTGCTGTGGAGTGAAGTGTAGTGACTGTGTGTTTGGAGGTGAACGGTGCGGCCACTGCACTATAGTGATGTCCCCATAAGCATGAAAATGGCTCCAAACGTTTTGCAGGTACTGTTTGCTCACCCAGCGCCGACAATGCATTGCTTTCTTCCCCCCACCCCCCACGACTGCACTGAAGCCTTGGCACCGTCTATGAGCTCCAGTCTGGGTATGAACCCACTACCTTCTTGCTCAAACTGGTACCCACACTGATTCCAGTCTGTAATAGTTTATAGAGAAAGTAATGCATCAGAGCCTAAGAACATAAAAATTTGCTTGGCGAAAGAAGACCAAAGTCATTGCAGTTCACTTTCTTCCGTCCTGGCTATATTCCTATATACCATATCCCGAGATATTATTTTCTAGAAGAAATCTATCTTGATTTGTTCTTGAAACAAGCAACACTCCACCGTCTCCCTAGGGAGCCTGTTCCATAAGTTTATTACCTGCTCACTGAGGAGGTGTTTCTGCCGATTTGTTTTGAATTTACGCTCCCTTCAATCGCAGGCCGTGTCCTGTAAGAACAAAAGCCTCAATTTTCTTTCTTTTTTTTTCTTAGCGCGTTACATGTTGAGCCCTTCCTCCTAAAGCCGCAGAATGCCTCATAAAATCGGATTTGTTCCTGTAAGCTCGTCTGGCCATGAAGATGGCTTCAGTGCAAATGAGTTGATGGTGCATGCGCCCACTGTCAATGGCTGGCGGTCTCCAAGGTAAGCCAGGGGTGGGAATTATTGTTACTATTTTACTTTATTCCTCTATGGAAGTGTTAAGGTATTTCAGGGTTAATTTGCATGTGTGTTTTTTCTTACTGGTTTATTAATTAAAACAAACCCAACAATTTGCATTTGTATAGCTCCCCTCACGCAGGATAGCGTCTCGGCTACACAATGGTGGTGGGTTGGACACTGAGCAAGGGGAGAGGGGGCAGTGACCATCGGTGAGGTTGAATAGGTGAGTCTTGAGGAGAGATTTAAAGGTAGATAAAGAGGGGCGAAGCGGAGGGGTTGAGGCACGGAATTCCGAAGGGGCAAGTAGGAAAGTGTGATTAATCGAGGTGGCTTCAAGGAAAGAAAAAAACAAACAGATTTGAAGGGCCAAATGGTTCGTACTTGCTGATACATTCTACGATCCTTTTTTGGTACATAAAAGTTTTTATTTCTATTGAATAAACAAGCACATACATATAGAGATAAGGGGACAAATGAGAGGCATGTGAATGAATAATTTGTTAATTTACAGCACATTGCATTCTCCTTTGGGGACAATGTAATCCTCCGTTCCCTTGATTGTTCACCACATCGGGTGGGTATTTTTGTTTGGGTATGACAGCACGATCCTACAAAATGAGCTGATGATGATAATAATCCTTGCATTTGATCTAGCGCCTTATCATGTTGTCTCAAAGCACTTCACAGGATACAGTAAACCTCGCATAAGTCTTAGCTTAATAAATCGTATGATCGACTAAGTCGCACATTCACCCAAGTCCCATTCAGTTCCCTATCAAAACTACTTAGATTTCTTTGCACTTCTTGTATTAACCACCTCCTTAATTGTAACGCCGCTCACTGATCCTCCATTATTCCCGTACTTACCAGCTGCATTGAATCGCAGGAAAAGTAGCCTTGATCTGTCGCATAGCAGAAGAACTTAATTTCCCGCGATTCAATGCTATTCCAGCGTTTGCCAGTAAGGGATCATACAGCGACGGGTCAAGACGGGTTGAATCACAGGAAAGTATTTTAACCCGTCACTGCATGAGCATTTCCTGACTGCATTGACGAACAACAGCGACTTGGATTTATGTAGCACCGCTCACGCAGGGTAGCGTCCTAGAGCACTTCACAGTGGCAGAGCACGAAGAACTAATACACCGCACTTCCTGACTGCAGTGAATTACACATGCTCAGTGTAGATTATTGATTAGATCGGATTTTATCTGATTTATCCAGTTTGCCTGTAACTCCGACTTCGCGCAAGTCTATTAAATGTTATGGTCCCGATTGATACAACTTATGTGAATTTCACCGTATACCATAAAGTGTATTTTGTGGACAAAGCGCAACACACAGCAGTGTCTCGTAACCAGCCGTGGAGTGAGTGACCAATTTTATTTGGGGGATTGTTTGCCAGGACACCAGAAAATGTCGCTGTAATCACTTAAAAACTTATCGAAGACATTTTATTGCTCATCTGATGAGAGATGATGTGAATTCAGATGTCAGATCCCGTGAGTTTTATATATGTGGGGCTTTTTGATATCTATTAAAATTGTGCCAACATTGTGTAATTCACCGCTTTGCACTACATATCACGGGAAAAAAAGGGGAGGGTGCGCATTCCATTGCAACAGTCTAATTTCTGGGATTTCCATGTGTAGTTGGGATACATGAAATTCTCAGCTTGGTGGAATTCACTGTCATGTCTGGCGTTCCCCAGGACTCTGCCCTTGGCCCTCTCTTTAATATCTACATTCTTCCCCTTGGTGCCATCATCCGCAGACATGGGGTCAACTTCCTTATGTATGCAGATGACACCCAACTCATATCTTTCTCCACCATCAACTCCACAGACTGCCTGTCGGACATTGAGTCCTGGATGAGGGCAAATTTCCTACAGTTGAATGTGAACAATAATAATAATCCTTGCATTTGATATAGCGCTTTTCACGTCTTCTAGACGTCCCAAAGCGCTTCACAGAATAGACTGTAAAGTGAATTGACTGTATATTTGTGGGCGAATGCTGCAGCCAATTGCGCACAGCAATGTCCCACAAACAGTCGTAGATTGAAAATGACCAATTTATTATTGTTTTTGGTTTTGGAGGGATTATTATTAGGCTCTGTGTGGAGTAAGGAAACTTGCCCAAGGTTTCGCCCTCTGCCTGGAATTGAACTCAGGTGTCTCACTTGCAAAGCGAGTGCTCTAACCACTGAGCTACAGGACTCCACAAATACTCAACAAGACTGAGGACCTCCTGATTGGTTCGCGCCAGCGCCTCTGCACCTCAGGCTCTGGCAGCATCAACCTCCATGGTTGCACACTTCAACTCACCAGCCAGTCAGGAACCTGGGGGTCTTGTTCGACCCTCAACTGTCTTTTCTTCGCCACATCCAAGCCATGACCCGCTCTGCCTTCCCTCACCTCCGTAACATCGCCCGACTCTGCCACTACCTCACCCCTCAGGCCGCTGAAACTCTTGTTCGTGCCTTCATCATCTCCAGGCTCGACTGTGCAAACTCCCTGCTTGTCCGCCTTCCCAACTCCTCCCTCCACAGACTGCAGACAATCCAGAACTCTGCAGCCCGTGTCCTCTCCCGCTCCAAACTCCGTGATCCCATCTCCCCAACTCTCGCTCGATTCCATTGGCTCCCTGTCCTTCAGAGGATCCAGTTCAAGATCCTACAAAGCCCTCCATGGCCTCGCCCCTCCCTATCTCTGCGACCCCCTACCAACGCGCCCGCTCCCTCCGCTCAGCCAGCTCCGGCCTGCTCCACGTCCCCCGACCCAGCCCCCCCACCATTGATGGGAGATCCTTCAGCCACTCTGCCCCCAGCCTCTGGAATTCCATCCCCCAATCACTCCGCCTCGCCCCCTCCTTAACCTCTTCCAAGTCCCGCCTCAAAACCCTCCTCTTCGACCATGCCATCGGTCACCCCCCTTCCCCTCCCCTCCCTTCTGTCTCTCTGACCCCAGCAAGTGAGACACCTGGGTTCCTAGTTGCATAATGTCACTCTTTCAAGCCTCACCTACTTAATGAGTTGCATCTGGTTATGTTCAGGTTCTGTATGTACCCCCAAGAGATTGTCCTACAGATGGTCGAGCGCTGTCGGATACGCAAACTGCAGCTGCTTGCTCACCAGTACTTCATTTCCACTAAAATCGAGCTGTACATCAGCCAAAGTCTTCCTGATCATTTTGGGTCCCACTACCACACCGAGCGGTTCCGCAGGCTGGGGTAAGATATAAATTGCTCATTTTCATCTATTTTTCAAAATGTAGATAATAAGTACTGCCGGTATGAGTACTCTCAAAGTGTAGTCACATTTGAGGGCAAAAACGTGACAGCCAGACACAGACATGAGGTGAATGATCAATCGTATCAGGGGAATTGTGAGTCAGGGCACCAGGAGGGAATTTCATTTCTTGGAGAGAAATGGGAGGTTGGAAATGGAACAGTAATTAGAGGCGATGGTCTTCCCTTTGTGCACTCACATTATTGATATTCATCTGTTGCAGGTATATTTCCCTGTCAGATAATGAAAAAACTGGATTCAAAGCACGGGAGCTTAAGTCTGTTCACGTTGATGCAATTGGGCAGTATCTGAAGCTAAGCTTCCATAAAAACCACACCAACAGATACAACTTGTACAACCAGGTAACGGCAGTGTGTCAGGATTACGCAGAGTTGCACGTAAAAAAAGATTATCAGTGGAAAGAAAGAATTTGTTTTTTTATGACGCCTTTTCCCATAAAACCTCTCAAAAGTCAGCCATGTTGGCATTCACTGCCAATTTATGCCCAGCAAGGTCCCACAAATAACTACAAGGTGAGATTAATTACCAGGAATGTTCGGACACATCCAGCAAGAAAAAGTGGGAAGATTAGAACTCTTTCTGAAAACAAGAGATTTGAGAGTGGAGCTTAAGAGAAAGGTGTTTAAAATTATGAAAGGATTTGAAAAAGCTGGACATTAAAAAGCTGCTTCAACAACAACAATTTGCATTTCTAGAGCGCCCCTCACACAGGGTAGCGTCTCAGAGCACTTAAAAGTGTTTTTCATTGTTGGTGAGACAAAAGGAATAGGGTGTAAGTATAAGATAGCCAACGGGAGATCACAAAGGAAGTTTAGGAGGAACTTTTTTTCACAAAGGGTGTCAGAAACTGTGGGTAAAGCAAAAAGTATTAATGTATTTAAGTGGAAATGTAATGTAAGGGACAAGGCAATAGAAGGGATTAGCAGGGCTTGAGGTTTGTGGGGTATAAACACTGGTGAGGACTAGTTGGACCAAAGGCCTGTTTCCGTGCTGTAAAGTTCTTGTATGTTATTGGGTGACTTGTTGGCCAGGACCCAGGGAGAAACTTCCTTCACTTCCAATAGGGACCCGGTGTCTAAAAAGTGCGGAGAGTGAGATGGAAATTAAGTTAACCATCTCAATGTTTTTGATCCAACTCAAGAACATTTTGCATATGTGTGCCCGTTGCAACCAATCTAACGCTATTCGCACTGCTGTACAGTTTGTTGACTGGTAAAACAGTAATTGTGGCAATGCTCATACATGTTTCTTAGCAGCTGATGATGCACAGTTTGTTTTCACAAAGCTCTGATAATATTGAGCAATTTGTTTAGTGGTGACTAATGCATTGTTGGTCTACTGCGTGAGTTGCTAAGCAATCTGCCTATAAAAGCCTGCTTGACTGGCAGCATTGCCCTATTCATCAGGGGGATGTTTGTGTGGTAACCTTGGATGTAGTCTAAGGACATTGTTTGTAACATAGTCGATTTTGACTAGAGTGAAAGTTGGGCATTAAATCAAAGCAAACCAATTTGGAGCTCCATTGAAATTGATTTCAAAATTGTGCTGGGAATATATGAACTGCTTTTTTTTTTAATCCTATTGCCATTTTATTTTGCATTCAAATTGATCAGTGATTTACCGTGTTTCCGGTGTGTTGTTGTTGCAGACTGTTTGCCTCTGCGTTCACTTCATTTACGAACATTATTATTTCCCACTGTTCAAATAATTTCTAGTCAACTTTATTCCCCGAAGTTTGCCACTGTTCCAGAGCCAGTTTTTCTAACTTTATCTTAAAAAAAGCAGCAGGTGAATGGTAGATGAACAGAGGGAAATTTTCAAATCTGAGATGGCTAGAGAGCAAATACAGTAAAACTCACCTAAGTCTTATCAGTCAGGACCATAACATTTAACATGACTTACGCAAAGTCCAAGTTACAGGCAAACTTATATAAATCGTTTAAAGTCTGATTTAATCAATAATCTACACTCCAAAATGGGATCCATTCCATCTTATGATATGATAGCTTGAATTGTCACATCAAGTTCAACTCAAATTAAAAGAAAAAACTGGCTACTCATCACATTATTTGCTTGTGAAAATTAGCTGTCGCGCTTGCCCGAATAATATTCACCTCAGTTCCAATTAATTTTGTAAATCACTGCCAGATGTTCCTGTTTACGCGACAGGTGCTGTATAAGTTAACCATGATGAGCTGTATTATCTTGTACTGAACAGGAGAACCAGGGGACATGACCTGCAATTGAAAGGGGGTAACTTCAGAACAGATCTATGGAAGCTACAGTGAGCGAGTAGTAAACTTATGGAACAGGAGCCCTAGGGAGACTGGAAGCAGAAAATGTGGTTTGCTTCAAGAACAAATGAAATAGATTTCTGCTAGAAAATAATATCTCATTTGGGAACTAATATATAGTTTGGGACACAACATGTGAAGTGACTGCTAGGATGGTGGAAGGCGAACTAGATAGACCTTGGTCTTCTTTGGCCAAGCAGATTCTTGTTCTTAATTAGCAAAGCCCTCTGTTATTTTGATCCAGAAAGGTTACAATGGTTCAAAGTTGATGGGTGCAATTCAAAGATTAGGAGTAATAGAGAATTGAGAACAGAACAATCTCACAAATAGGGTGTTAGACCTATTGGATAGATTTCCTTAAAATTACTGGGTCTTGAGAGGAGGCAAGGGGGTGAGCAAGGCGAAAGGGACTGTGGGATGGACTTCCAAATAGTGGGGGAGAGAGGCTGAAATTGTTCTTCAATCTCTGCCTCTGTTTGTGTTATTCTAGGTTGCTTTGGTAGCTGTGAATATTATTGGCGATCCAGTGGAAAATAATGAGGCCAGCACAACTGTGAGTCAAAAGAATACCTTTTCTAAGAATGTCCAGGCTTCTTTTCAACAGCTGAACTCCGTAAAAGTTTCCTCTTTTCCTCTGTCAGAGAAAACTCATCTAGATTAGGCTGTTTAGCTCTGGCAAATTCGGCAATAAGTGATGACCTATATTTTTACAGACATCTGTTACTTTGTTAAGATATTTGCAGACAGTTTCAAGCCTTTGTCATTAAAACCCCAAGTTGTAGATTTTCATCTTTGAAAAATCGCAAGTGAATTGCATCCAGCACATAACTGTGTCTGTTCCATCCTCTTTGGGTGGGTAGAGAGCTAATGAATTCGCCAGCAGCTGTTAAGGTGAATGTTGATTGACACCTCAGAAAAGCCTTCTACAGTACAATGTTTTAGAGATGAATTCGATTAGATGTTTAAAGGAGAGGAAGTAAAAGGTATTGAATATAAAAAAGGTTGGAAAATGGGATTTAAACATCTGCAATAAAATCTAATGAACTGGTTTGACTTCCTGAATAACTTCCTCCTTTCAAATGATAGCGACCATTGTTTATTAAGAAATCTGTAAGAATTAGACCCCTTGAAGTAAACTTATTTTGAAAGCCCATAAATCAATGTGCACTTTGCATGCCAGCACCTGCTCGTAATCTGAGAGTTTATCAATAGTGAATGCAATAACCGAATTTAGCATTGTAAATTTGAATAGCTTCATTGTAAAGTAACAATTGCACATATTTACCACCTTAAACTTTATATAATGTTCTCATTTCCTTCTGTAGCCTACTAAAGATAAACTGATTGATCATTACCTTGGACACAGGTCTGATGACCCTGCATTGGATGCAACCCGTTACAGGTTAATATTTGAGAATATTCGAACTTGGAGATTGTGAAATTACCTGAAGGTTAAAACTAGCCCCGATGCATGATGAGCACTTGGCTTGACTCAGTCGATTGAGTTCTCACCTTTAAAGCACAGGTTATCGGTTCAAGCCCCACGTTGAGTCTAGGACCAATCTAGGCTGACGCTGCAGTTCAGCACTGTGGGAATGATGCATTATAAGAATAATAATCTTTGCATTTGATACAGCGCCTTATCACATCTTTGAGAAGTCTCAAAGCGCTTCACAGAATATACTGTAAAGTGAATTGACCCTATATTTTGTGAAATACGGCAGCCAATTATGCACAGCAGTGTTCCACAGACATTTGTGGATTGAGTGAACTCATAATTATTATTTATTATCTGAAGGGTTTATTACTCCCCAGAAAAGCAATAAGGCCAATTGACTTACAATATTATTAACATTGTTGATAATAATGTTAATATTAATAACGTTGTAAGTGCCATCCTTCAAATGATAAGTTAAACAGGTCAGAGAGGAGAGTGCTGCCAACTGAGCCAGGTTTGGCACCTGTGCCTGACAAGGCATTTAATGCCTGGGTTCTCCCTATTTTGAGACAAGTCTGAATAGTTTCAAGGGTAGGTGAGGTGTGGCTGATCAATGGGCATTTGTCAATGGGAGTTCTGCAAGTGGCTTTGTGAAATCTTCTTTTAAAAACCTTGCCCATTAATGAATGTTTGGATGATCAAAAAGTAATGTTTTATGTACAGCTAGTTAAGCATTACACCTGCTCCAACCTCCACTGGCTCCTGGCATCCGAATGGACTGCCTTTAAAATTGCCGTGCTGACTTTAAAATCCCTTCATGATTTCCCCCAGCCCTTTCTACTCTATCTCCTTTGCTTTCCCAAGCGTTCCTACCATTCTTCCACCTCTAGTCTAGTGCTCATTCCTTGTTCATTCCCTACTACCATTGATGGCCAAGCCTTCATCTCCCTTCTCTGCTCCATTGCAAAGAATCCCAATCTCTTCAGGCTTTCCTTGTAAACATAGGTTGTTTAGCTGGATAAACCATTGTAATGAATAATAAATTATTAGCTGACATGTTTACATTTTGTTGCTTTCTCAGTAAGCAGGAGGTTATATCTCCTCTGGATGATCTGGCGTTTGACATGTACCAGGACCCAGAGGTCGCCCAGATCATCCGTAAAGTGGATGAGAAGAAGCACGAAGCAGTTAAACATGAGCGCTATGATTATGCCAAGAAATTGAAGCAAGCTATAGCTGATCTTCAGAAGGTATGAATGGTTTGTGTTTGACTGCTGGATTAGCTGAAACTATCTGACACAGAGTTTCTGGTTAGCATTAACTCTGAGATATTTCACCCAATTGAGGACAATTTTACTGATCAAAAATGACGAAAGCAATTTTCTAGAAAGCTTCATACAACAGTAAGTAATAATCCTTCCTTTTGATATTATGCCTTTTACATCGGGAGGACCTGTCAAAGCCTTCACAGGATTAACTGCAAAGTGTAGTAACTGTATTCTCTATGCAAACATGGCAGCCAACTACACACGGTAATGTCACACAAACAGTCGTGAAGTGAAAAAACAATTTAATTTGGGGAGTTGTTGGTCAGGACACTAGAAGAAATATCAGTTGTCAAGTGGAGTGACTGTTTGATAGGCAAAAGTGGCAACTGGAGTGTCAGCCTGGAATGGCACCTTAAGTCTTAACTTGAGATGTGAACCCTTGAGCTTTAAGGCTTAAATGCAACTGATGAAGACAAGTTGACACCAGCTCTGAGCTTGCACATACACATTGTTTGAAGAGATGTTCTATGTAAACGCTTATTTCTAGTTAGTTACAGCAATGTTTTAATCAGGTCGGGGAACGCCTGGGCCGGTATGAAGTGGAGAAGCGCTGCGCAGTGGAGAAAGAAGACTATGATCTGGCTAAGCAGAAGAAGCAACAAATGGTTGAATACAGGCAGAAAGTCTACCAGCAGCTCGAGCTACACAATCTGCTGGATCTCGGAATGGTGAGTGTGGATGGATTTAACTTGCAGCCTTAAGGGCTGGGCATTTGTTGCATCCCACAAGACCACCCTAGTACAATGGGATGTTTGGGCTTGCCTAGTGTTAGCAGGTCCAGCTGACTTCACTTCCAGTGCATGGCAAGCCAGCTGATAAGCTGTAACCATTCTTGTGAGCATTTCTAGCAATGGTTTTGGACTGTGCATATCAGCCGTCATATTTCTATACAGCTTTGAAGCACTTTGTGGACATTTTACATTGTGGGCTTGGTATCAAAATCAAGAATTGTCTTTATTTCATGCCCTTGGGTAGATAATATTGTGAGATTAGTAACATTAATTGTCAAATGCCGTTTTAAAAAGAAGTGGTTTGTGCAACAGGCACATTGAGATCCTGGTAGGATACAATCTGATGCTTGGAAAGTCATTTTAAAACTGTTTCTTTACTTTAGATCAGGCGGCAGCCTGAACTTCCCCTCGAGCCCCTGGACTACCTCAGCATCTCACAGCACCAGCCCAGGTCACAGGGCTCTGTTAGGCAGAGGACTGAACAGCCAACTGTGAAAGCGTTGTGTGGGGAATCGTCACCGCAACAGAACCCCAAGCCCTCCACAAAACCACAGTGGTCCTCCACTCCACGGCAGTCTCCCACTCCACCTGATAGATCGCCTTCTCCCAGGGTACGTTTCATCCAGTCGTTTTGGTTACTGGCAAGTGAACAGGAAAAAGGATTAAACCAATTCTGAGAAGGTTGCTTCTGCTTGTTTTAACTCTGGACAGCAGATAAACTGAAATTGGGGTCTAATTTGTGTTCTTTTTAATGTAATTAGACTTCATTGTCTTCCAAGCAGCAATGCAAGCTGCAGGTTTTATATAGACACATTAATAATGCCTGTACTAATAATATTAGCGTTTCCTCACGTATTCTAGACTTGTCAAAGCACTTCACAGAGTATACTGTAAAGTGAATTGACTGTATATTTGTGGATGAAACATGGCAGCCAATTGCGCACAGCAGTGTCCCTCAAACAGTCGTGGATTGAGATTAATAACAGTTAACTTGTTAAATATTGCAGTAAACATTGCTGTTGGTTGATTGCAATTTAGAGCATGTTAAAGACAACAAAAATGGATTGATGAACGTTGGTGTATTTTCCCTTGGACCAGACACACTTCTCTTGGGTTACTGCTACTTTACTTACCAGCTATGACTTGTACAAGGATGGTCATGCTGGTGTGTTCTCTTCCTTGCCTCCCGTTTGCATAAAACAGCACTTGTCAATGTCTCAGATTGAGAACTTGTGGGTTTGTAGCTCTAAATGGGGCTCGAATGAGCTGTGTTTTACTTGAAATTTATCCTCATCTATCCATCCTAAAGGCTTCGGTATAGTATATGGACATTCTGCCTCCAATTAGAAACTGAAACTTATACCATGACTGTTTTTTGTATTTCCTTAAGGTGGAGAGTATCTCTCTTCCTTACGATGAGCGGCCCTTACCAGCTCAACGCAAGCAGCCTGACATGCACAGTGATCCTCACGTGGATCCTAATGAATTGTCTCCAGCAGACACAGAGCCATTGAGTACGTCGGGAAGTGGTATGACTGGGGAGCCAGAACCACTGACAGAGAAAGCACTTCGAGAGGCTAGTTTTGCTATTGATGTATTTGGAGAGGCTTTGGTAAGTGTGCAATAGTTAGAAACCCTTCCATTTAAGCTCCGTATATAGTGGGAAGCTGTCCTTTATCTAAATTGACTAATTCAGAGCTTATGCGTTGCTTTTCACTATATTCTTTGTGGGGGACATTTTGTGAATCTGAACCAAGGAATGCAATAATTGAGTGTAAATGTCAAATTGCTGATGAATTGAGCTAATTGAATAACTAAATAATAATTAGAGGTGATCTTTATCATGTCTGGTACAGGTGGCTGGTGCCTATTCTAAGACCTGGTCATACAGAGAAGATGCTTTGCTCGCTGTCTATAAGAAACTATCCACTATCGCCGTTGGTGTTCCCAAGGATGAAATGAAGAACAATTTGAGAGCAGCAATCTTCCTTGTTCGAAGGGCCATCGGAGACAAAGTGTCATCAGTAAGTACTGCCAATGTAGTTTGCTTTTTAATAAACCTTTTTAAGACGAAAAAGCTTTATATTATCACATCAAACCATGTCAAAGTGATTCACACGAATTATTGTCAAATGAAAGCCAAGTGACTGCTTTTGTGAAACGCCTTACAACTGCAACAATTTTGAGCCAGCAGGATCCCACTATCAGACAAGTAATTGATCTATTAACAAGGGGATTGTTGGCCAGACCCCTAAGCAGTCAGACTGGTCCTGAGTTAAAATTTCACTTGGTTATGTTCTCCCAACATGAAGGGGGCCTATATAAATGTAAATTGTATCTCTGGTAACATCCCATGCCATCTTGGAACCAAGTACTGGAATAATGATAATAATAATCCTTTCATTTGATATAGCGCCTTATCACGTCTTCTAGACATCTCAAAGCGCTTCACAGAATATGCTGTAAAGTGAATTGACCGTATATTTGTAGGCAAAACGCGGCAGCCAATTGTGCACAGCAGCGTCCCACAAACGGTCGTGGATTGAAAATGACCAATTTATTATTGTTTTGTGGAATACAGGGGAATGTTTAATATTGCATTTTGTGTCCCGCTGTATAGCGTGGCCTTGTTTCTAATACTAGCGCCCTGCATCGTTTCCACTTTTCTTCCAGTGCTTAAACGCTTCTTGTGTGTTGGCCATTTTTCACACACTTTGCATAGAATGGTGCCTCTGAGATAATTGACCCAGAGGTCCATGTTATAATGGATTTGCCATGCAAGTGGATGGGAGAAAGAGCAGGAAATTGTGGTTAATGGTGCATAGCCTCCAGTCAAGAAGCTTACATCAGGACAGATAGAATAAGGGGAGGGGGAGCAAAGGAATGGGATTAGTGGTGAAGTTAGCATCAGCAAAATGGGACTTAATGGGAAACGATAAACTTCAGAATCTTTCGCTCTGCCATTTTTTTCTACATGACAATTTTTTTTGTTTCCATTTATCTCTTAAGTTTCTCTTTTGCTATCTTCTAGCCTTCATGCCGCTATTTTAACCCAAACATCCATTTAACAGTGTGTCATGACCTAATTCCTCTCCTAGACTTGGTCCTTTGAGTGACCCAGACAGCATTCAGGGAGCAGAAGGGATTAACAAAGGGATTTAAGACCTACCAGAATTTAGATGAATTTCCTTTTAACATTGGCATTGGTGTCTTGCTGTATTGTATTTGCCACTAGAGGACAGTAAAGTGCTTTCTGTTCTTCATAATGAACGGAGGTTTAATCACTGATATTCCAGTACACACAAAGGCATCAAGTGGTGGAATTCACAAAATAAGTTATTTAATTCAATAAATGCTCTTCAGGAATATATTGGATGGAATATGGCTCAATTTAAAGCTGAACAATTAAAGTAGGGAATGGAATTAGTAATGTTGGAGGGAGATGGATCGTACAGCAGAGCCCTTTTCAGTTTCTGTTCTCATTTCTCAGAATCTCTTCCTTCGGGTTTAAAATCAACTGCTTCCCTCTTTAGAACCCCACATGCCGCTTATGAATAGAAAACTGAGTCACCACAGATTACTGAAGTGCGAGGAAACCTTTTTGATTACAGTGATGCACTGTATTATTTTGATTTTTTTTCCCCCATCCCACTAGAAATCTCCCTCCTCCCAAATCCTCCTCCCCTCTTCCAAGCCCTCCACCATTTTTTTTCGCCCATGGAAAAAGCTTTTCCCTGAGTCCCTCGCAAATGCTCTCTCTTCCTTGGACCTCCTTTCCCTCTGGCTCTCCACCCTCAGCAATCCTGATGCAGCCATCAAGGCTGCATCTCTCCACAACCTTTGATTCCCTGGCTCCCCTGAAATCCAGGGTTGTTTCCAAACCCACCCGCTCCCTGTGGTACAACAGTCATCTCCGCTCACTCAAAACACAAACCCGGACACTCGAGCACAGAGGGCAGAAATCCGGCCTCACGATTCAGGTGCTCCAGCTGTGGCTCGAGCACCTCCGCACCTACCACCTCTCCCTTTCACAAACCACAATTCACTTCTACTCCAAAGCCATCCTGGAGGCAAACAACAATCCAAAAACGCTGCTTTCTACTGTCCATCACCTCCTGTGTGCACCCCCTGGAGCTCCCTCTATCCTCACATCAAACGTCAAGTGCGAAGAGGTCCTAGACTTCTTCACCTCAAAGATTGGAAACAGCCACTTGGCTGCATCGTCCTCTCCCCCCGTCCTCCCCATGTCCCCTTTCACCCCACCCAGACCATCCACACTGCCTTCCCCCTCTGCCACAGCCCCCCCCCCCACATTCCTTTGCCCCCATTTCTCCCTCTTCCCTGTCAACCACAATCACCCGGATGAAGCTTGCCACCTGCTGTCTCGACCCTCTCCCCACCCAGCTGCTGGTCACTCAACTCCCCCTTCTCTCCCTCTGGTGGCCGACACGGTCAACCAGTCTCTCTCCTCAGGCTGTGTTCCACTCCCCCTGAAAACCGCTCTTATCACACCCCTCCTCAAAAACCCACCCTCGATCCCTCTAATCTCTCACACTACCTCTCCCACCTCCCCACTCACCCATCCACCACCCGATGCCTCCGCTCGAGTGGCACTGGCCTCCTGCTCATCCCTCGCACCCTCCGCTCCACCATCGGAAACCGTGCTTTCAACCAATGTGCCCCGAAACTCTGGAACACTCCCCTCAGTTACTCCACCTTGCCCCCTGTCTCCCCCAAGTCATGCCTGAAAACCTTCTGCTTTTCTGCTTCCACTGTACTTACAGCCACCTCTGCCAACCCCCCCCCCCCCCCCGGCTCGGAGTCAGGCACCGCCATTGAGACGCTACTCTGCGTGTAGGGCGCTATATAAGTGCGAGTTGTTGAAATTGTTACTGTGGAAAACTTTCCGCCAGTTCTGATGAAACCGAGGCGAGGAGAAAGAAAGGTGCAGTGAAGTCCAATTAGTAACTCATAGTTTCAACCCATTCTTTGTACAAATATTGTGATTCATAGTATGACTAACAAGTAACTTGGTTGCCCGTTTACAAAAGGAAATATTAATTGTTCAACAAAGAAATAGAGACTAAAATTTTCAGCATAGGAGGCTCTGCCATTGGTATTAATAATAAGAATAATTATTGCATTTGATATAGCGTCTTATCACGTCTTTGAGATTTAAGTATTCTTTAGATCTTCCTCTCCCCTTTGAGATTTGCACAAGATTGTGCTCGACCACACTTTTCGTTTTTCGCTTGTCCAAGCATGCTGTTGATTTTTTTTTAACAGATTTTTTTTTCTTAATTCAATTAAGTAAGATAATTAACCAGGTAATTTGTTGAGCATCCTGTGTGTCTTTATTGTTGCAGTGCGCAGGTTGGACTCAGTGAGTGACAGGAACTACCTGGATCCTAGCAATCTTTTCATAATAATAATAATAATCCATGTATTTGATTTGCCTTATTATGTCGTTGAGACGTCTTAAAGTGCTTCACAGGATATACTGTGAAGTGAATTGACTGTATATTTTGTGGGCAAAACTTAACTTCCTATTTGACATGTTCTACCCCGTCTATGGGCCTTTTTTTTGTACTTCTTACATTGCATTGTATATTGCATTGAACTTTATTTGCCAGTAAACATTCCTGTAAACTAAATCCTGATGTAGATAAAGCTTTGTTTGATAATCTTCTGACCCAGAGACAAGATGCTACCAACCAAGCCATGATGTCAATAGACTTACTTAGTAGGCTCTCCTCGTATAGGATGGTTTAATAAAAAACAAATGTAAGCCACATGGTGACTTGCCTCCAGTTATCTACATACTCAGCAAGCTTGGCTGGTGAACGCTAACTTTGTGGGCTTTTAATTTCAATGGTTAAACACGCATAACTGGGACAGTTGAGCCTATGTTATTGCCTTGGAGTTCAAACACCATGAATAAGACACCCATTTTCTAGATGGCTTTCTCTTACGTTGCACCAAACCAGCTACGAAAAAATAACGAACTTAGTCAAATTTTGCACAAAAAATTAAAATTTGTAAACAAATACATTTTAAACTAAAATGCAGGTCTTCAAATAAATATTGATAAGTACAGGTCTTTACTGTAATAAATTAATTTCTCACTAGATTAACACTGAAGCCTATGCCTCCTTTGTGTGATGTGTTGTTGCCGTGATTGTCTCTCTGGTTTGATTTAATATCTATAGTCCTGTATTCTCCTCCTGGCGCTCACTCTAGATACCTTATGTGCATTGCCAGTGCATGCAAAAGAAAGCTTGCTTGCTCTTCAAGGGTTGCTTTTCTCTGCTGACTCCAGGCAACCTATATTAAAGCTCTTTCATATCGCAAGAGGCCAATAAAATCTTAACTATTCACAGCCTGGGTGCGTAGGCTGATAACTCCTCTTATCCTGCATTATTTACATTTGATGTTTCTTCGGGGCCTTCTTTATAAAGAGCGCTTACTTTAATTTTTGAATCAAAAATTTTCAATCAAAATAAAAAGAACCTCGAGACATCTTGCTCCCAGCAGCAGCTTTTGAGTTGACAGGGATCTCACATCAGGCCAATGTAAATGGTCTGATGTGACGGTCAAAACGACTTTCACTAAAGAAGGATGTCAGCATATTAAAGACCACTTGTGCAGACCGTTCTTGACTACAGTGCCCACTTATTCCAACAAACCCAGGACTTGAAATGTTAGTCAGAGACCAGCTGTTGGTTTGCAGCCAGCTGGACTCTATCCAAGAAGTGGCGAGTGCATACAGGCTTTGACTGTAAACGGTCAAAAGGTGTTTGCCCATGTGTGTCTTTTGTGGCTATTTTGTGTCTGGTCAAGTCAGTGGTTTGGGCGGATTTGTTGCAGGTTTTCTCCCACAATTTAAATCGCAAATAATATTTTTAAAAAATCTTTACTCCTATAAAGCAACAAATTGCATTTATACAGTGCTTTTCATGCACAGTGGATTCCTGTAGTGTAGTGGTTAGTGAGTTTGCCTCGGGTTTGATTCCTGTGTGAGACGAAATCTTAGGCAAGTTTCCTTACTCCATGCGCCTCTCTGTTCACTGAGCAGTAGCTCGGCAGTTAGACAGTTGGCAGATCACTTTCTGGGGGCAATAATCCCCCCCCCAAAAAAAAAATTAAAAAAAATTGGTAACTCAATCCACCGTTTGAGGTGCAACAAAGTGAATTGGATAGGTACTCAAAAAGAAAAAATTGCGGGACTATGTGGGGAATGGGAGACAGAAGAAAGTCAGATAGAGCAAATCTGCAGAAAACAACTAAGCTTCTGTACAAAGTCAACTTGAACGTTGAGCTATTAGCCAATTTCTTGTTTCATTAACTGTATTTGAAAACGATGACTGGTTTATGTTTGGAAGTAAATTGACCTTCTGATCCAGATGAGAGTGCAGAGCTAACATTAGCCAGGTTATTCTGCTGGAAGCTAGGTGATGTATTCAGATCTTAAGGACGGCACCCACAAAAATATGTACTAAATACATATCAAATTGTGGAAACAATTTGCTAATTCGCACATAGAATGAGAGATTCTACACCCACTTTTATATCAACCTCAAGAGTTCGTGGAGTCCTGTAGCTCAGTGGTTAGAGCACTCGGCTTTGCAAGTGAGAGACCTGAGTTCAATCCCAGGCAGAGGGTGAAACCTTGGGCAAGTTTCCTTACTCCACACAGAGCCTAATAATAATCCCTCCAAAACCAAACAATAATAAATTGGTCATTTTCAATCTACGACTGTTTGTGGGACATTGCTGTGCGCAATTGGCTACCGCGTTCGCCCACAAATATACAATCAATTCACTTTACAGTATGTTCTGTGAAGCGCTTTGGGACGTCCTCCCGACGTGAAAAGCACTATATCAAATTCAAGGATTATTATTATTGTAATGTTCACAGGGGTCTACGTCCCTGACTGTCCAGCTCCTTGGGATGTCCTCTCAACTTGAAAGGCGCTTTACAAATGTAACGTATTGTATTTTCCGTTTGCCTCAGGTCTTCCAAGCCTCTCTGAAACTGTTGAAGATGCTGATTACAGACTATGTTCCCAAACACAAACTGGGCAAAATTGAAATCGCACATTGCATTGAGAGAACCTTACCCAATCTTCTCAGCAAGACTGGTGATGCCACAACACATCTTCGCATGACTGCTATGAGTTTTATCCAGGTAAGCAACTCTGAGTTCCTTATGAATGAAGATCCTCACATTAGTGGGTGTAGAGGAAGGCCGTCTTCATAAGTTGAATCGTCTCAGAGAGTGAACTTTGAAGCCTGGGGAACATTGCGTTGATCAGGGTGCTGTTATAATAATAATAATACTTACATTTGATATCGCACCTTATCACGCCTTCGAGACGTCTCAAAGCGCTTCACAGAATATGTTGTAAAATGAATTGACTATATTTGTGGGTCGAAAAGTGGCAGCCAATTGAGCACAGATGTTCTTTGAGCGAGTCATTAAACTGAGGTCATTTAGCATCAATTATCTATGAAACACTTCCAAACTTTTTGACATTTTCGGCGAATTAAAATCCATGGATTTGTTTAAAGAAGTTAGTACATCTATATACAAAATCTACTACCAGCCAATCCCTTGGGACAACAGGATAGAGGTAGACTGAGTCAAAACAAGCACTTAAGTGTGATTTCCCTGCTTTTGAGGCCGGCTAGGGTGAGAGAATGTCTGGAGGGTAGGAGATGTGTGGGTTGTTGAATATTCTGGGGTTTTTTTCTTGATTACCTTTGGGCGTAAGCAAAGGAGATAGAGTGGGAGGATCGGCCTGGTGCATTGAATGGCCTTTACGTATTCCATGGTTTCCTGGATCAGATTAATCTCGAGTCTGGTCTGAACCTGTTTGGAGGTGCTTTAACATTTGACGATCTTTCAATGTTTGTTCCATCAAACAAGGTCTTAAGTATGAACTGATTATATCAAAGTACAGTAGAATTCTTATTTGCACATATCTGTATTGAGGTACAGATGTGAAAATAAAGTTGAGTTTCTATCTTGCAACAATTTTTAGTTGCACATAATGTACAAGGTTCGCAGTTTTACACGAGCAACAAGACACAGACATTTGGAGAGATAGAAAGAGGTGCGTGCACATACACTGGCTCCAGGTTGAAAAACACCAACTAAAAATTTTTTTTGCCCATGTGGGTGGAAAATAAAACAAATTAAATAAATTAAAGAATAAATTAAATAAAGAAAATAAAAACAGTGTGCAGTTACAAAATAAAGTAAGCAATTTTGCATGTTTTTCACTGGCATTCGATGAGAGTTGTGATGTCAAAGACACAGCCCAGTTGATAATTTTTATTCGAGGTATCACCAAACATTTTGAGCTCACAGAAGAATTGGCATCAGTGCAGTCAATGAAAGATACGACAGCTGGAGAAGACTTTTTGGAGGCAGTAAATAAGTGTATCTTAAAATTAGGAGTGGAGTGAAAAATTGGTGAATGCGACACCGATGGAAGCCCAAATCTGACAGCCAAAAATGTTGCGCTACTGAAAAGAATTCAAGATCAAGTCAAAGAAACAAATTCAGAACAGAATATTATTTTTCTACACTGCATTATCCACCAAGAGGTCCTCTGTAAGAGTGTTCTAAAACTAAGCAATGTTACGGAAGTGGTCAACTACATTCGAGCAAGAGGATTAAACCACAGGCAATGTGTAACTCTGCTTGAAAAACTGGAATCCGAGCACACGGATGTTCTGTATCACAAGAATATAAGATGGCTTAGTTTAGGAAAGGTTTTGAAAAGAGTGTAAGAACAGAGATTGATTTATTTTTGGACATGAAACAAAAAGATTCAGATTTCCCACAGCTGAATGATGCGAATTGGCTTTGATTTCGCATTTGCCGTTGATATCATGGGCCACATGAATGCACTGAATTTAAAACTGCAACGGAAGGGGGCCTTTGTGCACGATTTGTATTGCACTGTCGTGTCATTTGTGACTAAATTATTTTATCGCGTCAAGTAGGAAACAGGCTGTTCGCTCACTTCCAACTTTGCGGCAGATTACTGTTTGCGATGAAAGCCTTAAAAATTAGACTTCGTCACTACTTGACTTACATGTCGAATTTTCTCGCCGATTCCAGGATTTCAATTTGATTGAAAATAACCTGTCTTCGGTCTCTTCACCTTTCTATTTGATGTTGACAAAGCCCCATTTGACCTCCAACTTGAACGTATTGACCTACAATGTGATCCATTGGTTGCGGAGCAAATCAAGTCAGTGCCGCTTCCCAGTTTTTACGCCTCTCTTCATGAATATACCTTTCCAAAAATAAAGGCTCATGCCCAGAGGATCCTTGTTCTGTTTGGATGAACATACAAATGCGAAGAGACATTTTCTGTGATGAAATTCAATAAATCAAAACATAGATCTGTGATGACTGATGACCACCTTGCAGCAGTACTCTGCATTGCAACAACGGAGACGATGCCTGTCTTCAATTGTTTGGTTAACGCACAGCAGCACTTTCATTCTTCCCATTGAGTGAGCTTCTCACATTCTCATCAATATGTGAATAAATGAATAAATATCTGCTCAATGAGCTGTTTTTATTTAACCTAATTTTAATGAATGTCAATTATATAGACTTTATTTTATGCATGTACAAGTGTAAGACTTGATTTTGAGCTAATATTAAGCATTTGCATCTATAATAAGTTTGTGGCCCGCGAAGCTTACCAAAACTCGTGAAGTGGCCCACCAGCCAAAATAGTTGCCCACCCCTACTCTAAACTAGCTATGTGAGTTTTGCCAATCTCACAATTTAGGCCCATCTCTTCCTCTGTAAAAGACCTGGTTCTGATCTAAAATTTCCAAGCACGAGGCATTCCAATAGACAAATTGTAGAAATAATAATCAGAATCGCGAGCTTCCGGCAGAACCGGAATCGCGTGGGACAGAGCCCTGTTTCATTTTGTGATTGGGTCACTTTTAGAAAGCCAGCCACCGGAAGCATTGCGCAGAATGTTAACTTCTGTCCAATTCATCATGGGTTGTTGCTCTGGGCGGCTGGCCCAGACTCCTGGGCTCTAGGCATCTGACCCAGTGACTGCTGTTTTGTTTCAAATGCCTTTTTTTTTCCTCTTTGCAAACGTTACAAGCAGTTTTCAACAAGTGCGTGTGTATGTTTGCTTTGCAATGAAACAAAATGTACATTAATAGTGGAGTGTGCTGCCTGGTGTACTTTCTCCTCGTCATCAAGGTTCATCCCAGAAATTCTAATTAGTTGACTAGTCACTGTCGTTTGGGGGTCTTCACAGAATATATTGTAAAGTGGATTGACTATGGGAGAAACGTTGCAGCCAATTGTGCACAGCAGTTGTGGATTGAGCGACCACATTACAGTGGCTATTTGAACGACAACTGAAGATTGAGTAACAAATTAGTTGGTTTTGTTTTCTGGTAGTTAATGTTTTAGCACGCTGGATGCTTTTGTTTGTAATAATAATAATAATCCTTGCATTTGATATAGCGCTTTTCACGTTCGGAGGACGTTCCCAAAGCGCTTCACAGAACACACTGTAAAGTGAATTGACTGTATATTTGTGGGCGAACGCGGCAGCCAATTGCGCACAGCAATGTCCCACAAACAGTCGTAGATTGAAAATGACCAATTTATTATTGTTTTGGTTTGGAGGGATTATTATTAGCAAGTGATGACCACAACGCTACAGTTGTGACAATTTAGTTTCACCATAACTCTTAACATCTGTCTGTACCGATGGCTGAATTCTGTAGACTTCTTGAATTTTATTTTTAAGTTGACTGACGTCCCTGGGGGGGGAGCTAAGATTGGGCTAAACTGTCTCCAAGGGACCTTGTCCAGCGCCTTGGGATATTCTTGATGTGAAAAGTGTTACATAAATGTGAATTTGTTGTTGTTGCTGCTGCTTGGTAATGGAATATCAGATTTGAGTCAACCTTATGCAGCAGTCTCCAAGGCACAGTTGTTGACAGACCAGCCAGCCTGACTCATCAACAGGACTTGGAGAGGCATGACAACCTCTAGCAGCAGGAATTCCTCCCACTCTGCTCCTGTTAACCCTGCAAGACAAAGTTCTAACAGGTAGACTAGTCCTAGCTGGGCAAGCAGCAGGAAGCTTGCAAGACGGTGTTTGAGATGGTAAGATGTACAGCTTTAGCTGGTTAAACTCCAACCCGTACCTGATATTTTCCAGTTAGGGAACCAAGTTGCATCCCTCCAGGAAGTCTGAACACATTCCATTTCAGACACGGAAATTTCAATGCGAGATGGCATACAAATGTGGAGAACTGTCATTTTAGGCTATTCTTAAGCATTTTGATGGTTTTCTGCCTGTCAATCTCCTACTGACCAAAGTTTTTAAAAAATCAAATTCCGCTAATAAAAAATAGGGCTGTGATATCTTGTTTAGGTGTCTGCTCGGTTGGTAGTACTCTGGACACCAAGTTTCGGTGAGTTTGGAAGAGAAGCGAGGAAGGCTGAGGAGGTCAGAGACCGAACTGAGGAGCCATTGGCAGGAGCTAAGGCTTTCGTCTTGATGTCTGACTGGAAAGCAGTAGAATATCAGTGGACCTAGAATGAAGAATAGAAATGGAAAAGTAGCTTTGCATGAGGAAGTTACCCTCATGATTACTGCATGATACCATACAATACAAAGTCTTATCGGGTGGACGTTCCAAGGCGCTGAACAGTCAGGGATTAGACCCGAGCGGGTGGTGGGGAGTTGGCCAAAGGCACGGTCGAAGAGGAGTGTCTTGAGGCGTGCCTTGAAGGAGGCAAGAGAGGGAGCAAGGCGAAGGGAATGTGGGATGGAGTTCCAAAGGGTGGAGGCAGAGAGGCTAAAGGTCCGACCGCTGATGTGCGATGGGCCGGGTGGGGACATGGAGCAGTCTGGAACCTGCTGAGCGGAAGGTGTGATGGGGTCATGGAGGCTGGTGCGGGAAAGGACATGAGCTGCAGAGTTCTGGATGATCAAGAGCTTGTGGAGGGAACAGTTGGGAAGGCTGACTAGCATGGAGTTTGCGTAGTCGAGTCTGGACGTAATAAAGGCATATATGAGGTTTTCGGTGGCTTGAGGGTTGAGGCAGTGGAGGAGTCGGGCAATGTTGCGGGGATGGGGGAAGGCAGAGTGGATCATGGCACAGATGTGGGGGAGAAAGGACAGTTGAGGGTCAAACAAGACACCTAGGTTTCTGACTGGCTTGAATGAGCATCTGTGGATGTTGATGCTGCCAGTGCCTGAGGTGCGGAGGCACTGGTGTGAGAGACCATGATGTGGTCAAGAGGGAGCAGGTAGGTGAGGAAAAGCTGGGGATTGAGCCTTGAGGTATTCCTCAGGTGGCCTTGTGAATACCGGGGATAAGCCATTGGAGAAGTCAAAGTGAGAATGGTGATTCAAGTAGGATTGGACCCAGGAGAGAGCAGTCCCATGGAGGTGGGGAAGAAGGAGAGGCAATTGAGGAGGTGGTTAACAGTACAAAAGTGGCAGAGGAGTCAAGGAGGACAAGGAATCAGAGGGAGCCCTGATCACAGAGAGAAAGAATACGTCAGGAGAGGAAACATTGGCCTATACGTTTTTTAAAGTTTCTAACAAAATGTGCTTTTCTTTGTTAAATGCTGCAAACTAAGACATGCGTCAATGTTAAACTCCTGCCAAAATGGGCTGAGCAAAGTGCTAGTGTTTTAGTTTAACAGGATCGGCACCAAAAAGTATGTTTTAATTCAAATTGCCAAGACTTAGTTTTCTCGGAGACCTCAGCACTACTTTACTCGTCTCCAAATGAATGTGGCTTGCATGGAGCGTTGTAATGGTTTCCTGCGGGGTGGTGCTGATGTTTTGTAATCTCTCGCTTATTGTCCAAGCAGGAGCTGTTGACAATGTGCATCTTGTTGTCTGCTGGCAACACGGGGCACTTGGGTAGCTGCCTTCATGTCCCCCGGCTCTCATGCCTCCTGCAGATGGATTTGCGAGAGAACAATTGCTCGGTCTATTCACTGTTTAAAACTGCGTCCCTGGGAGATTGGTGCTGAAGTCATTGGCAGCTTATTAAATGTCTGTGTTCAGATTATGCTTCCACAATAAAACCAGCAGTCTGGTTTAGTTTTGCTGGCTACTTCTGCAGCCACAGAGCTTCACCAGTTACAGAAGCCCTGTGATTATTAAACTGTTTGAATGCGAGGATTGGGTTATAATTTATGTTGTATTTACGTTACCTGAAGCAGTGGTGTTGTAGCAACCTCAATTTAGACTTAAATTAAAACTGAACTGTGAGATCGGGGAACATTAGTTTGATTATGGAATGCATTGCGGCTGTGGGTGAAACATTCTATTGCATTTTGAAGTTAGGGGTATGGAGAAAAGGCAAGAAATGTAATTTAAATTTCTGATTTGATCCAATAATCTGGCAGAATAGGCTCAGTGGCCTGAATGGCCTCCTCCTTTTCCTGAGTTTCTTTGGTACTGATTGTGAAAGTGTTGAATTTGTTGATTAAGATGCAAAGTTTACAAAGTTGAGGGGTTCTGTAGCTCAGTGGTTAGAGCGCTCGCCTCACAAGCGAGACGACCTGGGTTTGATTCCCGGGTAGGATGAAACGTTGGGCAAGTGTCCTTACTCCACACGCCTCTATTTACTGAGCAGTAAGTAGAAACCCAGTTGTTAGTCGATTGATGGATCACTTTTCCGTGGATAATAATCCCATTAAAAAAAATTGGTTATTACTGTTTGTGTGAAGAAATGTTCCCCCAATCTCAGATGTAACTAGTTCAGTTTCAATTTTAGTCTAAAACTGAAGTTAGGTTGCTGGAGCCTTGGGACATCATCCCAACATGAAAGGCACTATACAAATGTAATTTGTTGTTGCTATAACACCTCTGAGAAGAATTCTTACTCCCAGTGACTGGTCTGCTCCTCCAAGTTATATCAGGCTGACTGGTCTGTCATGAAATTTCTTAGAATAGTACTGGGCTTGGGATCTAGACTACTGAGATGACCAAATAGGATTAACTTGGGAGCGCCACCATCAGCATGAAATGATTGAGCACTGCTACATCCTTCTGCCCACACCCCAGGCACACACGCCTACTCAACTCCACTGGCTGTACCAGTTGGAAATGTGAAGCTTCAGTAACAGTTGCTTATGTCTCTGCATACCAATCAAGGTGGACCACAAGCCTTTGATAAATGAACGGATGTTGACAAACTGACCCCAGGTAATGCTTTCCACCAATTCTCGTCCAAGCATTAGTTTCCTCATTAAACATACAACAGACACACTACACCTTCAGGGTAGTAGAGACACCTAAACAGCACATCTTAAGACATACCAACCACCTTGACGTTCGAGAGGTCTAAGTCCAATGCCAGGTTTACTCATTACCAACTGTTTAATTCAGTCTCCCATGAGGGGTCTTGACAGAGGCATGGCCACTGCGAAGCCAACTCTGCCTCCAGGGTGCTGAGCAGCAGGTCAGTGGAGACTGATGGAGAGAACAAAGTCATTTCTTCACTCCTTGAGAACTTTTTTAGTCTCGTTTCCTTAACGACTTTATTTTAAGAGTGATCATTTTAAATTGAAGTGAAATATTGTGAAGTTGCATTGTTAAAATGACCTTTCTTTTCCTTTGCAGGAAATGGCACTGTTGAAAGAAGTGCGACCCCTGAACATTATCCCGCCCCAGTTAATGCAGCCTCTGAAGTCGCAGGTTCCAGTCCGTTTGGTAATAAATCAGATTGAGTTGGTGGAACGCTTACTGAATGAATTGGGGACAGATAACACTGGCTTCACTGCAGACAACGTGATGAGAGTAAGTAAAAAGAGCTGGAATAAAGTGGGGCTTGCCAGATATAATAATAATAATACTTGCATTTGATATAGCGCCTTTATCATGCCTTCAAGACGTCTCAAGGCGCTTCCCAGAATATACTGTAAAGTCAGTGTAGTGTTTTGTGAGCGAAACCCAGCAGCCAATTGCACACAGCAGTTGTTAGCATATTGGTTGTGTAGTTCAGGAAATGACATAGAAGTCGAGCAAGGTGATTTTAAAATTGTGCGCAACCTGGGTGAGACCAGCACTGTGTGTAGTGATGAGATTGAACAGAGGAAAACGAAATCAGGTTTGCGTACTGAATGGAAATGTATTTGAGGTAACAGAGACTTCGTCAGAGCAGGAGAGAAACTAGGGGTTTTGTGAGGTTGGTTGCTAAAAGCATCACTGCAGCATTCACTTGTATGTAAGAAAGCAAACACAGTTTTAGGATATGAAGTCTAGTGCTCTGGTCAGTGTAGGCAATCTGTCTGAAGTGGATCAATACCCCAAGTTTCAGATAGAAACCAGTCAATCATTTCATGTCTAGAAATGATTTTTTTATTTCTGGCCCCTTGCGCTGCACGCCCCCCGCCCCCCCAATAAATGATACCCTCCCCCGCGGCTGCTATTTTTTAAAAGTATGCTAATTGCGTCTGAGGATCAAGGGATGCTCAGAACCTATCCAGTTCCAAACTTATTTATCTTCAATTAGTTATCTCCAGTTATTTGGTAAAAACAAGTGGTAAACCAAGGCAGCTAAGCAGTTCCTTCAGATTGTCAGGGCATTACATTGGGTTTCCTAACTGTATGATCATTATACAGTGAAACTAGACCTGTCCATAGGAATGAACCCAAATATAGATCAAAGCATCTCAGAATAAGTGGAACATCTGGTCACTTGTTGTACACAAAAATGCATTTGTTATTGTCAGTGCATTGTTATCTCCATCAACAAAGTCAGGCTTTGGAAAGACAAGTTACCCAGAAGATAAATATCTCAGAGTGAGCTCCTCTTTCACTCCAAATTTCTGCACTCGGCTGGTAAATACAAGAAGAGTTAACTGTTTAAGACTTATCACAGGGTAGAGCCTCAAGCGAGTGAAGTGTTGAGCAAACAGTGGCTTGTGTTCCTTTTTGTATGCAATTGTGCTACTATTTATACTAATTGTGTTCTTGGTTTACCTCAAATGACCGACCTGACTGATTGTTTTGTCGATGGCTGAGCTAATGCTTGTTGAATAATGGACAGTATTGAACCCTGAATTGTCGGTTAGCCACAAATGTTCTAAATCCAGACTATTTGGTAATTGCTATGAAGGTTTTTGCAATGTTTCAACATAAGGCATTGTAAACAAAGTAGTTTAGGCAGTAGGGTGCTAATTTGTTTTTAATAAAATGTTTTTCAAATGTACTATAAAAACTAGGAGAGTGCAGCTTAATTCAGAGACTGGAATCCTTGTACAATCAGCCACTAGCAGTCATTAAGTCTTTGGACAAAAAATACAAACACTATATTAAAAAAGATATAACCACTTGAGTGAGATACAGAGTAAGATGTGCCAGGGATGGGACAAACTGCAGAGCCAAAAGCAGAATCCCCCCCTCCTTCCACAATTGACTGGAGCAATTTCCATTTTAAGTGAATAAAATCCTGTTAACATTTAGTCAGCAACCTTCATCAACGCTTCTTCACTGCCTCCACATCTCATTGGTTTGGATTTTAAAATCAATCAGCATCATCTCATAGTTGCCTTTGCACTCTTGTACCAGGCGAATCAAATCTTCGCTCGGAAGCATCAAGCTTCCCTGCTAACTAGCTGAGGCTGTTGTTCTCCCATTCTTTCTTACACACACTGGAAGCTTTTACCCGGATGTAATCTGCTGACTGGCAGAGAGAAGCTGTCTGTGAAGCTGGCTGCAATTAAACAAACCCAGGCAGCCTGGTCTTTACAGTACAATAGGGAGCAGTTTGAAGTGCACTACACCGCGATGGAGAAGAAAAGGCAGAGAGAGCTCACCCTGGCAGAGAAGGTGAGGGTCTTAGAAATGCTGGAGGGAACAAAGATGTCACAGCTGGAGGTGGCTAGAAGAGTGGGGGTGTCTCAGCCGGCCATATCTCGCCTGATCAGGAAGAAAGCTTCCATTCTGGAGGAGTGGCAACGCAACAGCAACCCAGAGCGAAAGAGGCGGAGGGTGGGGAAGGATGCCCATGTGGATGCCGCATTGCTCCACTGGTTTGAAATGGCCAAGGCACAGAATTCCTCCATTACTGGGGAGATGCTCATGGCTAAAGCAAGGGCTCTGGCTGACGCTCTGAATGTGGAGTTTACCCCAACCAGCGGGTGGCTGAGTCGCTGGAAGAATCGAAATAACATCTGCGTGCAGAGGATCCATGGGGAGAACATGGCCACCAGCCCGCCACCAACCGGTGACTGGATTCAAACAACCCTTCTCTCCGTCCTACAAGACTTCAGGCCCGAAGACATCTTTAACTGTGATGAAGCCGCCATGTTCTACAGAGCTGTTCCAGTTGGGAGCCTTTTCTTCAAGCACAGGTTGACTCCAAAAGCAGCAGCTGAGTGCAAAAGAGCCAGGGATCGACTAACCTTGCTTCTTTGCTGCAATATGACTGGGATCGAGAAGGCAAAATTGCTGGTTGTGGGGAAAAGCCAAAATCCACGATCATTCCGTGGCGTCCCATCATCATCCATGCCCATCAGCTACATCTCTGCAACTGGTGCTTTGATGACAGCCCCCGTTTTCATAGAATGGCTTAAAGATTTTGACAGAGAAATGAGGAGACAGAGTCGCAACGTAGCTCTACTGTTGGATGAGTGCAGCGCCCACCCTAGCAAAGTCCAACTGCGCAACGTCAAGCTGGTTTTCCTCCCGTCGAATGCCACATCTCTGGTTCAGCCTCTAAACCACGGAATCATCCAAAATTTTAAAGCGCTGTATCGTCGCCGTATCATCCAGAAGATCTCCAATGTTCTCGACGAGAACGTGGCAGCATCGACCTCTGTAATGGGGAGGACAATCAGCTTGCTTGATGTGGTACATATGATGTCCCGGGCCTGGGAAGAGGTGAAGCAGGTCACTATAGAGTACTGCTTTCACAAGACTATATTTTCCCAACAGCCCAAAGTGTTGGGACAAATGGCATTGGAAAAGGTGACCCCTCCAGATGGGATGACCAAGGAAGAGTTTGATCTGTATGTCGACCATGATTCCGGTATCACCTGTGTTGGAGAGTCAGCTGACGTGGAGATTTGCAGTGCTCCAAAGGGATCTACAGAATGGGAAGACACCGCGGAGGAGGAGGACGTACTCCACTTGCCCAGACTTGAGGAAACAGTGAGAGCTTGTGCCACAATTGAGCGTGTGCTGCAAATGACTGGGGCAGATCCAGAGACCCTGCGCAAGTTTTATGATGTCGAAGACTATGTGGAAAGAGCACTCGCTCTCAGCTTAAACACTTAGAAGAAAGACATTATTGGAAACGCATTGAACATTTCAAAGCAAGCTTACCGTTTTTTAAATCCAGTTGACCCTCTTTTGCTTTATATCTAATGAAAATAGTCCTTTACACAATACCGACCTTCATTAAAGAGCTCTGAGGATAAAACTCAATGATTTTGTACAGTTCAAAAACAACAAAAGTGGGAGGGCAGCGTGAATGGTGGCCAGAGCCTAGAATGTAGGGACTGCTTTGCAAATAGCTTATTTCTTTTCTGAACAGCAAAGAATTTCGGGCTTTTTTGTTATTGTGTATTAAGTGCTATTTGTTGTGAAGGACAATTAATAATAATAATTCTTGCATTTGATATAGCGCTTTTCACGTCGGGAGGATGTCCCAAAGCGCTTCACAGGACACACTGTAAAGTGAATTGACTATATCTGTGGGCGAACGCGGCAGCCAATTGCGCACAGCAATGTCCCACAAACAGTCGTAGATTGAAAATGACCAATTTATTATTGTTTTGTTTTTTTGGAGGGACTATTATTAGGCTCTGTGTGGAGTAAGGAAACTTGCCCAAGGTTTCGCCCTCTGCCTGGAATTCAACTCAGGTCTCTCACTTGCAAAGCGAGTGCTCTAACCACTGAGCTACAGGACTCCACAAATTGACTCGTGGCAGCCCACAGAAAATGATCTGGGGAGTTGGGGTGAAAAATATGCTTGATCCCATCCATTCTGTTTCTTTTAAAAAAAATTATAAATTCAGTTGATAATTTTGGGTGTGAATATACCCCATTTTCTCTCCCGATCACCTTACCCCCACCAATGATTTTGGCATAATGGTTGGGTTTGAGGCCATTCCAAAATCTGTGCTGCCCTCTTGGATTGAATTCCTGTTCGCAGAGCCAGACTTTGAATGGCACTCCGTCAGATGTTGATTGAGATAAGCCAACGTTCTGCACTGAAACAAGAACAGAATCTACAATGGCTGCGCTTGAAGTTTTGGACCCAACCCTTACATCGATTTGGGGGTGTGGGGGGGTAGAGGATGTATTCACACGTTCATTAACTAACATTCAACAAATTCTTTGTATCACTTGGTATGAAAAGATCATAGTGTCACCCAATGGTATTCAATGCAGTTATAGCACAGACAGCCTTGCAGGTTCTGACATACAGCTTGATTCACAGCCGTGTAGAGGTACTAGAAATTCTACAACACTCCCAACAACTATACTAATCTTGTCATTGACAGTTTTTTTTAATGTAATTTGATGCAGTTATAGTCATAAGGGTTCTGAAGAATAGTTTGCTAATGGGGGCGAGGGAGGAGGGAATAAACAGTAGGCAGAAGCCATGGAATAAAATAACTAATTCAGTGCTTTTCCTTGCACTTTCTGGGTAGGCAAACACCTGGTATAGTACTACGATACATTTGAAGTGCAAGTCAGTGTATTCTACTTGACATGGCTACTTAAAACCAGGAGTAGGTTTCTCAGGGTAAACATGGACCAATGGACCAGTGTAAACATGTCCAATTAATCTTGTGTGCACGCCTGAAGTGATTTCTGAGTGTTTTCAAGGTCACATAATTAGCAATTTTTTCACAAAATCACAATAAATTCAGATGAAGAAGGCCTTTCAAGCCCATTTAATCTCATCTTCCCGATTTCCCACCCGTAGAACCGTCCAAATTTACAGCATTGTAGAAGGCAATTCAGCCCAATTATCTACTCCAGCATTGAGTCCCAGCCCTGACCTTAACCACCCTTCTAGTTCCAACTGTTAATTTACCCATCTGTTTAAAGAAATTATCTGCCTGAATTTTTTTCAATAGAAAATTGGTAACTTGATTGTACATCTGCTGATTTCATAGCTGTTTTGTATTGTGAGGCATTGTGCGTTTTGATTGCTACCTTTTGAATATAAAGCTCAAACAAGAACTATTCACTCATGGTTTATGTCTTTTTTTATATTTTCAAGAGCTTTGGTCTTGAATCTTTCAATAATGTAGTATGAAATTATGACATGATGCAAAACAATTTTAAGATAGCAGAATGGACAAACGAGTGGAAGACAACAGGAATTTATATATAGTATGTTTCACATCGGGCAGATGCCTCAAAGCGTTTTGACACAAGCCAATGTGGTCCCATTGCAGAGTGTCGCTTCACATAATATGCTGTAAATAATTCTAATCTTTGCATTCGATATAGCGCCTTATCAAGTCTTTGAGACATCTCAAAGCGCTTACCAAAATATACTATAAAGTGAATTGACTGTATTTTTGGAGGCAAAATGCGGCAACCAATTGTGCACAGCAGTGTCGCACAAACAGTCATGAATTGAGTGACCAAATTATTATTAATTTATCATTTTTTTTACAAGGGATTATTACCCACCGTGAAAGCGATCCACCAATTGACTAACACCTGGGATCCTACTTACTGCTAGGTAAACGGGGGTGTGTGGAGTAAGGAAACTTGCCCAATGTTTCACCCTGCCCGGGAATCAACGCAGGTTCTCTCATTTGCGAGGCGAGGGCTGTAACCACTAAGCTACAGGACTCCACAATGGTCAGCCATTGGAACTACATCAGTTTTAGATCCCTGATGGATTTGAACCCACAACTTTGTGACTCTGAGAAACACAACAGCAACTTGCATTTTGTACAGCACCCTTCATGAAGAATGACATCTTGAAGTGCTTTAAATAGGGTTGATGAGAAACAAGGATCTTGAAGTTGATGTGCTGGAAAGCAGGGAGCCCAGTGGTGACTGGGGTAATGGATGTGGACAGCATGGCTTTACATAATATGGAAGAATGGTAGTTTTCATTGTATTTTTCTCTATTTGTTTTAAGTTTGCAGCTGGAGCTTTGGAACATACTGCCTCAGAGGTCCGAGATACTGCTGTAAGGATTGTCCTCGCTCTTTATCGACAGCATGGTAGTGCCATCTTACCCTTCCTTCCACCGGATGATGCGAATACACGCAGGAACGTTCTATACAAATCACTGTTTGACGGGTTTGCCAAAATCGATGGGAGACCAACTGAGGCGCAGCTGCGGGTATGTCCTGAAACCTGTTAATGTCCCTCATGTCCTCCATTCCACCATCGGTCGCTGCACTTTCAGCCACTACGCCCTGTAACTCTCGATCACTCTTCCTCTATCCCTCCACCTTGCCCCTTTCTTCCTCAGCTTCAGATCGCGCCTGAAGACTTTCCTCCTCGACTGTGCTCCGCCAATGTCAAGCGCTCTGGGATGCAATCCTGCATGAGAGCCGCTGTGTTGTTAATCTTGCTCGCTTTACATGTGTCCAGTAGAACGTGCTTATTTGCAGGCCAGATAACCACATGGCTCAGACACGAAATACAGACAGGTCGGCAAAAATGTTTCAGTTGAGTGCGTGCAATTAGGTTTATGTGAGCACCGTGAGATAGAGAGATCTGGTTTAGTGCATGGAAAGGGAGCAAGCAATGCATACACACAGTTAAAGTCAGAGAGACGTGCACATACATGTACATGCACACCACATGGACACTTAGGGAAGCAGTGGGAGGGAAAGGCTTATGCAATACAGAGGCAATGGGAGGGAGAGAAGTGCATGCTCGCGGTAGTGGTGGAGAGGGAGAGAGAAACACACAAAACCTACCTCTTTGACCTACCTTATCTAAGGCCATTTTTCCTGCTTGGTTTCTGGCATCATCCCTGTACAACGGTTAGACTCTACTCAACATGAAGAGCGCTATATAAATGCTACGTGTTGTAAAGAATTGTTTACCCTGTGTCTGCTCAAACACGCACCCTGAGTTTGTGCTTTCAGATGGGAAATGATATCATTGGGGAAATGAGAAATAAGTTTTTATTCCCAACCTTTTGAATTTCACAAAAGGAGCAAAAGTAATCTTGTTTACATGAAAGAAAGGAATATTCCAAAGAGAAACAGGAAGGTTAGAAGTGGAATAATTGTTGCTAAGCAGGTTGTGGTGTAAGTAGCTGTGTGATGAGTGGTTTATTATAGGCATTTATTGAGGACTGAAGCGGATTTGGCTTCTCTATATTCTTCTCTATACAGCACCGTGAGACATCCTCCTGACGTGAAAGGCGCTATACGAATGTAAGTTGTTTTTGTTGTATCAGGCACAGAAAAAAGCAGCAGCAGGAGAAGCCGATAGACGGAAAAAGGAGCAGATAAGGGCCCTTCAGGAACAGCTGGCGGTGTTGAAAGAGATGCAAGCAGAGGTGCAGGCCGAGAAGGTGTGTAAGAAGTCACATTCTATCTTTGCATTCACTTAGAACTTTGTTGTATGAAAATAGCTCAAAACGTGACCAAGGCTGTTTTTGAGAGACCAATATGTTGGCCCTTCAAATGGACCTTGATGGTCTTTTACGGTCCTGGACATTTCTTCACTCGGTAGTCACCTTGCAAATCTGAACAGAATTGCTTTGGTTTGGGTTTCAAAGTGTAGTGATTAATTTTCTTTGGGTCTTTTGGGGGCTAAGCTGGTTCCAAAGCTTGACAGTATCCAGATAAAATCAATATCCTCTTTGATGGTCTCGGTAGCCCAGTTCCTGACCCAAGCAGGTCCACAGTGTTCCAAAGCACTTTGATGACAGCCTGGCTCGTCGGAGGAATTTGGAGGGGCAGACCAGTCACAGGAGAGAGGGAGCAAAGCTTCTTCCCACTCAGCTCCTGTTAATCCCTGCAAGACAAATCCTAAACAGGTACGGTGATGCGAGCTGCACAAGCAGAACAAATCTTGCCAGAGAGTGTCTGCAGTGACAGGTGATGTGGTTTTAGCTGGCTAAGCTCCAGTGGGTGTCCCCAGCACTCACTCTTGAGATCCCTCAACCTCACCTGTCATCAAACCTCGCCTAATAGTTTCTGGAATTAGGTAAGTAGGCTGAGTCCCTCAGGAGAGAGGCCGCACGCCTTTCCAGAAAAAAGATACGTTTCCATACATCTAAACTGTGCCATGTTTAGATAATTCTATGGATGGCATTGGGTTTACCTGGGCAGGGCATCAGAACTGATCAAAATAAATTCTCACAGACAGATCCTCCCGGTCTCAATCTTGAACCCACCTGGAATATCTCTCTCTGTTTCAACATTCTATCGAGCCAGTTTGTGGTCACGGGGCCTTGCAGTAGCGTTAAAAGAACTGGCCTGAAATGCATTCTGATACCCACATCAATCTGCAATTTGCATATTATATCCCAGTCTCACAAGTTAGACCCCAGAGTGCTAACCAACACTTAAAACTGAAATTCCCTGCAGTAGTTGATCTGAGTTTGTTTGCACATTTACATAAAAATGCACTGTAAGCAGGATTGAATATCAGGAGCAGATGGCCAGACAAGTGAATGTTTCCACCCTGCTGTGCATGTTTAAGCAGTTTAATATTACTGGAGCGGGTGGCTGACCACATGAAGCATTAATAATCAAAATGTAGCAGTGAATTGGATATCCAGCGCCATTGATATTTGCTTATAAAATCCTACGGTGATCAGTCATTAGCTGTTTCTGGAGGACAAGGTCAGCATTGGTGTTGTCACATGAATAGAAATTTTCTACATCAGGGAAAATGCTAGCACACTGAGAGTTTCTCATGTGGGTTTTCATTGCTGTGCGCCACTGCAGTGGGAGCCTGCTGCTTTGATGACATAAGCTTCTGTTTTAACAGCACTACTACACGCAGAATCACAATAAAAATTACATTTGTATGGCGCCTTTCACGTCGGGAGGATGTCCCAAACATGTACCGCTATAAGAAAATATTCAGGATAATATACACTATATAGTTGTTGCATATTGTTGCTGTTTTAGATTTTATAATAATATTCCTTACATTTATAGTGCCTTATTGTGTTTTAACTTGGCGTGTTTTAGACCCTATTTTGGAATTTGGAGATCAGTTGATTTGAAGAGAACTTTCTATTTATTGTTAATGCCATTTTAATAAAGTTATTAGCCTATATATCCACCGGGAAATGTAAAACTGAATGGCAAGCTAAACTTTCCCATCTCCCTCCTCTTCAGTGAAGCCAGTCATCTTTGTGAGACATTCATCCTTTTGAGTGTCATCCTGGAACAGAAGATTGCGGGTTCAAACCCAACATTGGGACATAAAGTCCACACAAGGTTACTCCACAGTTTTTGTTTACCTAGCAGTGAGTAGGAATTGTTAGTCAATTGGCGGACTGCTATCCAGGGGTAAAAATGCATCCCAAAACACCCAACAAACAAAAAATTGGTTACTCAATCTTAAAATTATACAGCACTGAAGGAGGCCATTTGGCCCATCGTGTCTGTGCCGGCTCTTTGAAAAGAGCTATTCAAATCAATCCAACTCCACTACTCTCTCCCCATAGCCCTGTAAACTTGTCCTCCCCAAATAATTATCTACTTCTCTCTTAAAAGTTGTTATTGAATTGGCTTCCACCAGCCTTTCAGGCAATGTATTCCAGATCCCAAACTCGCTGTGTGAAAAGCATTCCTCCTCACCTCCCCTCTGTTTCTTTTAACAACTATTTTAACTCGGAGTCCTCGCCAGTGGAAATAGTTTTGAAAACTTCTATTAAGTCTCCTCTTAACATTCTCTGCTCCAAGGAGAATAATCCCAGCTTCTCTCGCCTCTCCTGATAACTGAAGACACTCATTCCTGGTACCATCCTGGTCAATCCCTTTTGCACCCTCTCCAATGCTTTGACATCTTTCCTAAAGTGTGGGGCCCAGAACTGAACATTCTCGAGCTGAGGCCTAACCAGTGTTTTACAAAGGGTCATCATAACTTCCTGACTTGTGTATTCTATGCCCCTATTTATAAAGTCTCGTATGCCTTATGCTTTTTTAACAGCTTTATCTCCCTGTCCGGCCACCTTCAATGATTTGGTTATATGACCCCCAGGGCTCTCTGTTCCTTCACCCCCTTTAAGATTGTACCATCAGCTTATATCGCCTCTCCTCATCCTCCCAAATTGCTTCACTTCGCATCTCCACATTAAACTTCATCTGCCACGTGTCTGCCCATTTTGCCAGTCGGTCTATGTCCTCTTGCAGTCTGCTACTATCCTCCGCACTATTTAGTACTTTCCAAGCTTAATATCAGCTGCAAACTTGGGAATTGTACTCCCTATACCCGAGTTCAAGTCATTTATGTAGATCAAAAACAGCAGTGGTCCCAATACTGACACCACTGCACACTTCCCTTCAGTCAGAAAAACAACCGTTCACCACCACGCTCTGCTTTCTGTCTCCCAGCCAGTTCTGTATCCGCTGCCACTGTCCCTTTAATACTATGGACTTATTTTTTTCTTACAAGTCCCTTATGTGGCACTTTATCAAACAAATCCACGACTGTGGGACACTGCTGTGTGCAAATATCTGCTGTGTTTCACCCACAAAATACAAAGTCAATTCGTTTTATAATATAAAAAAAACGCATTATACTGCAGATGCTGGAAATCTGAAATAAAAAAAAAGGTCAGGTAGCGTGCAAAACAAAGGTGAAATTATTGAATTGTTATTGTTATTCAGACCATAAACTTCCCCTCCCCCTCTTCTGTGACCATTACTTTGGACTCCACCATCGTTAAGTGCTCTGAGACAACACCCAGCGTGGAGGATGCAATATAAATGCAAGTTGTTGTTGTTGTTACTGGATCATTTGAGTCCCAGACACACCTTTTCTCTCTGGTCTGCCCGTTTAGTTGCAATTCCCCCCCCCCCTTTGTTTTGCATCATTAACACTTCTTTAATCCATTTTCCCCCATTTTCTCCTTTGACTTCCTTGCCCTGCCTCTCCCCTCTTTGTTAGTGCTTAAAAGCCTCTCCCTCCCAACATGCCCTAGTTCTGACGAAGGGTCATGGACCTGAAATGTTGACTCATTTTCCTTTCTCCATAAATGCTGCCTGACCTATTGAATGTTCCCAGCGACTTCTGTTTTTCACTTTATAACATATCCTGTGAAACGCTTTGAGATGGCTCAATGATATGATAAGGCACTATATCGGATGCGAGGATCATTATTTTTGTAGATAGTATAGTCTCTGTTGATAATCAAATGCATTATTATTTATTGTTCTTGCTTTACTTTCATTTATCAAAACACTAATTGAATCATGATACCAAGGTACGTAGTTTTATTTTTTTAATTTTTTTTATTATTATTATAGTTGATGACCTTGCTAAAAATAAAATTTGGTTTGAATGCAGAGCAATTTGTGGGCTGGAATGTGAGTTTTGTATATTTCCATGTTCTGGAAGGTGCAATTATTTTTTTTTGAATTTTTAGGGAAAAGAAATGGAACATGGTAAAGTTGCCCGAACAGGTTGGTGTGTTTTTTAATTCAATTGTTTTAAAAATGTAACAATTGTACTGATGTATAATCCTGAATTAGATTTCTGGAAAATGAGATAGATTGAGCTCATTTGGGGAATTAAAAAACAATTACTCTTTGTCTGTTGAAGAATAGGCATTGTTTTTGCTTTTCAATTTTACTGTCGATGTTCAGAAGCTCAAACATTAAAGGCATGTAAATTGGTGTTGGCTTAGCTCAGTTTGCCTCTGGGTCAGGATGTTGTGGATTGAATCCAAATGTTGCAATGCAACATGTAGTGGAGTACAGGAGAGCTCTGTATTGTTGGAAGTGCTGTGTTTCAGATGAGACGTTAAACTGAGGTCCCATTTATCTTTAAAGATATATGTTAACGATTCCATTGCACTATTACAAAAGAGTTGGGAGCAACTCCCAGGCATCCTGGCCAGCAATCCTCTGGACTAATTGGTCAGTCACTTGATGACTGTTTGTTGGAACTTTATTGTTTGCAAATGAGACTCAATATTTGCCAATACTTCAGTTATCAGGAGAGGCGAGAGAAGCAGGGATTGATCTCCGTGGAGCAGAGGTTAAGAGGAGACTTAATAGAAGTTTTCAAAATTATGAGAGGATTCGATAGGGTGAACAAGGAGAAACTATTCCCACTGGCGGGTGGGGCGGTAACCCGAGGACACCGATTTAAAATAGTTGTTAAAAGAAACAGAGGGGAAGTGAGGAGAGGTTTTTTTCACACCACGAGTTGTTTGGATCTGGAATGTATTACCTGAAAAGGTGGTGGAAGCCAATTTGATAACAGCTTTTAAGAGAGAAGTAGATAATTATTTGGGGAGGACAGGTTTGCAGAGCTATAGGGAGAGAGCGGGGGAGTGGGGTTGATCAGGGCTATGGGGAGAGCGCGGGGGAGTGGGGTTGATCAGGGCTATGGGAGAGAGCGGGGGAGTGGGGTTGATCAGGGCTATGGGGAGAGAGAGGGGGAGTGGGGTTGATCAGGGCTATGGGGAGAGAGTGGGGGAGTGGGGTTGATCAGGGCTATGGGGAGAGAGCGGGGGAGTGGGGTTGATCAGGGCTATGGGGAGAGAGCGGGGGAGTGGGGTTGATCAGGGCTATGGGGAGAGAGAGGGGAGTGGGGTTGATCAGGGCTATGGGGAGAGCGCAGGGGAGTGGGGTTGATCAGGGCTATGGGGAGAGAGAGGGGGAGTGGGGTTGATCAGGGCTATGGGGAGAGCGCGGAGAAGTGGGATTGATTTGGAAGCTCTTTTCAAAGAGCCGGCACAGACACGATCGACCGAATGGCCTCCTTCTGTGCTGTATAATTCTAGGATTCTACACCACACTTGAAAGCAATTACCTGCAAAGCACATTGAGATATTTCTACATCTATATCAAATGCAAGGATTATTATTATAATAGCTCCATGGCCAGATCACTGGAAAAACCTTGGTGAAATGTAGTTATTTAGGGCAATGGAATGCAGAGTTGGAGATTATTTTCGGAAGAGTGAGACAGATTTATTGATGCAAACAAACACTATTTGTCACCGGAACTGTGTGAGGTTTAATGGGCTTGTGCCTTGCTGAAAGGGCCTCCTTATCTTGTTGAATGACAATGATGCACGTGCCATTGTTTAACAGACTGAACGTCCAGTTAAGCTTTCTTGCATATCATTCCCTTTCCATACAAGCTTTCCCCACATCCTGATTCATTCATGTCCATGTCACTGCAAATGCAAATTTGCTTGAGCTCAGCTCTGATTGTTGTACAACAGAAAGCATAATATTTGCTCTGAATCCTCCCCCCCCCACTGAAAACCATCCAGTTACCGAAAGGCTTATCTTAGGCCTTGAAACAGCAGTTCGTTAGGAAACTACTCCTCATTTTAATTTTTTATTTTTAAGTAACAAATTGGCTGGGGTTTTATTCTCGCTATCCACAAACTGCATTTAAAAGAAAAACCTGATTGTGAAGTTGAATTTATAGCTCGCCTGAGCTGACAATGGAACTCTTTCATGTTTTCTGGTTGTAGCTGCTGTTTGCCTCAGTCATGGTCGCTCAGTCTTAAACAAAGCGAAGAACTTTAAATCTGGGGGTGGCCCTTTGGAATCATGCTATTTACAAGTCTTTTAATATAAATGGAAACTTTCAACCGTTAATGATTTACTCTCATCCTTTAAATCAAGCCAGGTTCCTTGTTGAAGTCTGAATGTCTCTGCCCTCTCTGACCCTGTCTGTCTTTGTCTTCTACAAGGAATGAAATGAATCGGAGATGCCAAAATATATTGTGCATGTAGATAGCCAAACTTTAACAAAATTATGAGATGCCTGCAACCAGACAATGCCTAAAAAGATGCTATGATACACAGATGTCCTTTGCGTGACTTATCAAGTTAAGGTCCTTTCTGCCTCTGCCTGTTCTGGTTAGTACCAGCCTCCCAGTGTATCCATTGTCCCGTGTCCAGCTGTACTGATCTGCTTTGCCTTCCCTGAACTGTCTTCATATTGTGTGACTGGAGCTCAGTACAACCAAAGCATCTGCTTCAATTCCTTATACAAAAATGCCAAAAAAGAACAGATAATAGGAAGAAAATAATAGAGCTGAGGGAGGGGAAGAACTTTTATTGCTACACATTGAGTTCTACCGTATTCTTTTCTGACTAAGACTCTAGCCTCCAAGCCAGTCGGTTCTGATCCAGCTGGTCTTCATTCCAGAATGCGCAAAATGAATGATTCTTGAAATTACATCCTTGTTTTTGGACATCTTTCACTGAGTCTTGCTCATTCCTTTCCTTTGTGCCAAACCTCCTGGAACCTCTCTATTCAACGCAGTGAACACTGTAAGTTCGCCATGTCCATCAGCCTGTCAATTGCATTCAAGCCATGAGCTTGTCAAAGTTGATTAAAACAGAAGTTGCTCGGTTATCATTCAGCTTTGTTTCAAACCAAATAGACTGAATTGGAAATCGATTTTTAAAAACTAACAGCCATGGGTTAAATTAAAGACCTATTTTGTGCTATTTCTTAACGGATTGCTTAATTGAGAAATCTCAAGTGAAGCCTCCTCTAGGTAACTAGAAGTGCATTTTTTACATCTCTCTAGGGGACCCTCAGCGGTCACATGAGCTGGTGTCTCAGACTTTGGATTTCTTGAATCGTGGAGTCTGAATGGTTAGGGCACTCGCCTCACAAGCGAGATTACCTAGGTTCAATTTGCGGGCAGGGTGAAACGTTAGGCAAGTTTCCTTACTCCTTTGTTTACCTAGCAGTAAGTAAGAAGCCAGTTGTTAGTCAATTGGTGAATTGCTTTTCTGGGTAATAATCCTTTCAAAAATAATAATAAAATAAACATTCATAAATTAGTCACTCAATCCACGACTGTTTGTGGGGCACTGCTGTGCGCAATTGGCTGCCATGTTTTGCCAACAAAATACACAGTATATTCTGAAACGATTTGAGAGGTCTCAATTACGTGATGAGGTGCTATATTAAATGCAAGGATTATTATTAATTAGGAAATCCATTTTGGAATTCTGCAAAATTGTATGCTTTGATCAAAAGGCTGGAAGGTTTTGTAGACTGCAATGATTGATTATAATCCTTGCATTTGACGTAGGACCAAGGTCACCAAACATGTCAAAGTACTTCACAAGCAACTGCTGCCCTGTAAAGCTTTTGCATAGCTAATTACTGAGAAGTATATACTGACTTTTTTTGTAAGCAAACATATCTTTTTTTGCATGCCAAAGTCCCTCTAACAGCCATAAATTGAATGAAGGAGTAAATTAATCTGGAGAATTGTTAGCCAGGACACCGGGAGAATTATCTTTCTCTCTTTCAATAGTTCCGGGATCTTTAACGTCCATCTGAGGGCAGGTATATGGGACTTTGGTTTTATGTCTCATCTGAAGAGTGGCATCTCTGACAATGCAGCTCTTGCCTAGTGCTTTGCTGATGTGATGTTCTCCATAGCTCGAAAGGTTCAATATTCTGATTTAACTTACTTGATCCAGAGGAACTACAACCACGCATTTACATTATTTTCTTCACAAGGACAAGGTTAGACAATAGGAACACTAGAACTGGCCACGGCATTACTCCAGACTAGCAAGAGTCAAGCAGGGATTCCTGATAATTATTATCCAGATACCACTGCCGGTCAGAGAGAGATGAGGGTGTGGATGTCAAATGAGGACATGGATCGATAATGAGGAAGTTCGCCTTTTGCCTCTCACGCCATTGAATAGCTTTCCTACACTCACTGCCTGGGTTCCCACACGAAGAATGATTGCTTGAGCTAGCCACAGCTACATGAATCACCATTTATTGGAGAAGAAGGGAGTGGAATTGGTGGGGGTGCGGGGAGGTATACAACAAAAGCTTTTGTTAAATGATAGAAAGGAAACGTTCTAAACTGACCGTAACATTAGGCCTTTATCCAGGCAGCCCAGGTAATTAATTGCAAGTACAGAATGTTTCTGAGGTTCCAGCTGGAATTAGTTTTGTATAAGGATTTTGGCTGTGCTTATCCTCCTAAATCTTTTCAAGTACTGAGCAATGAAAGCTGCACACCTTGACTTCCAATGGCTATTCATCTCCCCCGAGAGCCACTGGACAAGGAGCTCACAAGAGCATGCTCTCGGCACACTGTCCTAAACACTGTCCTAAATGTTTCCTACAGGATTACTTGCAAAACTTTACCTTTCCAGAACTAGTCTGTATAAATTATTTATTGGAAAAGTGATAGAGCATTGCCTTAGGATGTACTCAGTGTCAATTTACTGGAATGATTTCTGGTGTCAAGGGCACAAATTATGATGAAATAATGGAAAAGCCTGGATTGAATTTTCTCAGGTTCAGGAGATTGAGGGGTGATCTCAAGGTATATAACATTTTAAGGGGATTTGATAATCTGAATAGTAAGCAACTGTTTCCTTTAGTGAGAGAATTGAGAACTAAAGGCCATCGTCTTAAACATAGAAACCGAAGTAGGCCATTCA